CTCAAAAAATGTGGCATTTGGTAATTCAGTTTGTAAACCAAGCCACTACCTCGGCAAAATCCTTGCTATGTACCTGTAATCGTTGGGAATGTAAATGAGGTTTATTTTCTCCCGTATATAAACGTAGTTAGCTCTCCACATTCTCACCGACTTCTTTCTCACAGAAAATACAAACACGAAAACAAGTAACAGATTCAGTTATCACAATTTCGTCATTCATTTTACTTGATAATTTGTTGTTAATTTTTCTTCTTCTCTTGGCAGACACCAACAGGTGAACGGTAGTTTCATCAGATGTATTGCATTTTTGATTCAAGTTTTTTCTGCATATCTTCGGCCTGTAATTGTTCTAATGTTAATAACGATAAACCTAGTTGATCCTCCTGTCAACAAAAAAAAAATAAAATGTTTATTTTACTTGCATTCTTTGAAATAAATCATTACCATAGCAACCAATTCATAAAGATGTGTAAGGTAAAGAAAGAGACTTATCATGTGTGCCATACTACGGATGAGTGAGTTTTGCCTGGACAGTGGCCTTCATGCCAATTCTTTAACTTGTGTCGGTCAAGGGGTTCTGTTTTGCCCAGATAGTACCTTTTCTACCTACTCTAACGTTAATTTCATTTGTCAAGGGTTCTTTTACGCACACCTATATTTACATGGTTGGACGTCGTCTTTTCGTGTGAACAAGCGAAAAGATTCTTCTTGAATCGAGGACATTCTGATTGAGAGTTTAATGTCCCAACTACCCTAATGATTCCACGATAATTCTGACAAGGCTCTGATCATTATTTGCATTTATCGAGCAATATGTAATTTTTCACAGTTTAGTTGACGCTGAAATGTATTCAAATTCAGTATTCAAATTTGAATATGGACACGCATGTACAACTAGAAATTCTGTTTCTAGGGACGTTAGCTGAGAGTTCTGTGTTTATATGACGAAGAATGTGGATATAGATTTGGATGTAATTGACGTGTAATCTGAGAATAAACATCAAAATTCCTCAAACGATGATCAGCGGTTTTAATCTAGACGAGTAATTACGTCAGTCACGGCTTAAAAATTTTATTTAAAATCTATAAAATGGCAGAGTGGACATATATCCAGACTTCTTACCCGACTGAGGGGAGGGGAATTTGTCACAATTTGATATAAAAATCTAAACTTTTTACCCGACTGAAAGGTTGTGCCATTAGTCTCAGGAATCTTTTCGAGACTTGTAAACTTTCATCTGTTGATAAATTACACAGATTATCGGTAAGATGTTCCTGGATCCATCGTGGAAGTTTCCCACGCTTATCAGCACGAGCAAATCTCTACAATAAAAATTATAAAAACAAATTCATTTAAAAAAGAGTGTGTAGCAATTTAGTTGGAGCTATTCATTAAAATGTCTGTTTTGAGTTCAAACTGGGGATTTTAGCCAGTAGAATATCTTCCGTCAACATGAAATGAAATGCAGTTTAATGTCCTATTTTTCAGTTCCTACCAGTTTAATGAAGATAGGCTTACAATATTTTGTTTGCAACTTGTGGAAATTGTGCCTAGACAGCAGTGCTACAATCTTCTCTTAAATTGACTTCCAACTGTCAAGGTGTTCATATGGGACCTCAGTTATTCGTCTCATCCAAACGACACCGTTTGTCGCCAGGCCCTGAATCACTGATAAGGGGAAACCATATCAGAATATCCTGAGGAAAATTTCTCTGCCAACACTGGGATCAAAACCAGGATCTCCACCTTACTCATTGAATCACTGCTACCCCCATTAATAAACATTATCATTACGAAGATCATGTGGGTTAGTATCATAATTAGAAATATTTGCGTTCATATAGATGAAGCAAGTGGAAAGTCAACTATATTTTTTACCTTATCATCAAATTAATGTGGAAAGTTAGTTATATTTTTACCTTATCAGCAAATACCATGATACCATAATCTGTCTTTCCTCGTAAAGCTCTACCTACACACTGAGCAGCATGTCTCATTGCATCAAACGTTAAAAAATCATTCTCACGTATCTGATACTGTTCTCGTAAATATTCTAACCTAGCCTACAAATAACAAAATAAACATTACATAGTCTACCTTAGCCTTTAAATAAATATTACATAGTCTACCCTAGCCTATAAATAAACATTACATACCGGTAGTCTACCCTAACCTATAAATAAATATTACATAGTCTACCCTAGCCTATAAATAAACATTACATAGTCTACCCTAGCCTATAAATAAATATTACATAGTCTACCCTAGCCTATAAATAAACATTACATGGTCTACCCTAGCCTATAAATAAACATTACATAGTCTACCCTAGCCTATAAATAAATATTACATAGTCTACCCTAGCCTATAAATAAACATTACATGGTCTACCCTTGCCTATAAATAAACATTACATGGTCTACCCTTGCCTATAAATAAATATTAAATAGTCTACCCTAGCCTATAAATAAACATTATATAGTCTACCCTAACCTATAAATAAATATTACATAGTCTACCCTAGCCTATAAAAAAACATTACATGGTCTACCCTTGCCTATAAATAAACATTACATGGTCTACCCTTGCCTATAAATAAATATTACATAGTCTACCCTAGCCTATAAATAAACATTACATAGTCTACCCTAACCTATAAATAAATATTGCATAGTCTACCCTAGCCTATAAATAAACATTACATAGTCTACCCTAACCTATAAATAAATATTGCATAGTCTACCCTAGCCTATAAATAAACATTACATAGTCTACCCTAGCCTATAAATAAATATTACATAGTCTACCCTAGCCTATAAATAAACATTACATAGTCTACCCTAACCTATAAATAAATATTACATAGTCTACCCTAGCCTATAAATAAATATTACATAGTCTACCCTAGCCTATAAATAAACATTACATAGTCTACCCTAACCTATAAATAAATATTGCATAGTCTACCCTAACCTATCAATAAATATTAAAGAAGCATTATGTAAGATTTAGAAAAAGAGCTAGTATGTGACAAGTAGTAGGGTCGCCTGTTCAACTTCGTGAGTTTTCTCAAGATCTTCTGGATTCCTCCCACTATTTCTCTCCCATTGAAACAATTCGATAAAATACAAACCTTAAGAATTCTACTCTGAGTATAAACATAGGGTATACCAAACATGATGACAGCACGGCCATAATGATGATCTGAATTACAATAAAGTATTATTATTAAACATTCATTATACAAGAACTCAATCTGGCTAGTGTGGGTCTTTCGTTAGACCCGAAATGTTACATAAATTATTAATTAGACATTAATAAACTTATCCAGACCATAATCAACTCTCAATGTCAAAAATTATTTCATTCTGGTTCTTCAAAAGTTTATGAAAATAAATTTATTTGACATTTATATATCAAATGACATTAAAATACTCACCAAAATCTATTCCTTCTGAGACTTTCCCTCTTGCTACGGACAATAATACAGCACCTCGTCCATTTTCACAAGCCTGTTTATAATATGAATGAAATGGTGTTTAACGTCCTGCTTCTTTACTTTATACAGATGGTCGGGGCCAGGGTACCAAAAGAGAGGGGGTCCGAGGGGAGGGGGCCTCTCCCCCCGGCTTCTAGGGATTCAGAGTGAGACGGAAGGTTAATAGCTAGACAAGACCCGGAGAAAACCCACGAGGTTGGACAGGCGACCCTACTCCTTGTCACGTACAACCGAGGATTCGAAACCACGCCAGTCGACTCAATGACAGACTTTATGATACAGCGCGCGCACGCTAACCATTCAGCCATCCAACCCCCCAGGGAGTGAAAGGAACAGTTAACAGTTAGACAGGGAGAAAGGGGGAGAGCTAGAGAGAATGTTTAGATTAAGGGATGGGTGAGGAGGGGGGCGTGGTGTAGAGTGAGATAGTAGGGAAAGGGCAATAGTAAGAGTGTGAAAGGGAGTTTACAGTGATAGCGTGCTTATGTTTAATTTATATATCCCCACCTTTTGATAATTAAGTAAAGCCAGTGATGTTTCTGCTGCATCTTGTGTTTCTATAAATAGTAATTTACGTTTCTGTATCTGATCAATAATACCCTGAAATACAATAAAACAATAAAACAGCGGTTGCCAGGCAACATATGCCCACAGCAGCTAAATCGTCCGGGCAGTCAACAAAGGTTGTCACATATTTTTACTGTTGTCGGTAATGAAACCTTTAGAATACATTAAAATCTGATATGGAGTAACAACTCATTAATTAATTATCAGAAAACCATTAGAATTTGTTTCGCCCATGGCAACATTTAGTGTACAAAACATTTAATACATTGGATTTAGCTGTTCAAGTTATCAAAAATCATTGAAAATCAATATACTTGTTCGTCTCAAGACCTTAAACTCTAAAGTCAATTGAAACAATTATATATAGATGTAAACACAGTGTATAAATATAAAATCATGACCTGGTGACCTTAAACACTGAGTATAAATTTAAAGTCAATCGGATATTAACTTTAGCCTCTAGGGTGTCCACAAGTCTTGCAAATTTGAAAATGATCCACTGTATACAAGAAATTGTGGATAGATGATGGATATAGGACAACAATATTTCTGGGCGTATAAAGATAAATTACTTCTAAAAAAATTTTTTTTTTAAAAAATAACATTGAATACCATGTAAGTAAAAAGATATATATTGGTTTCACCCTTCACTCTAAAAGAAAATAATTTTTAACAAAACAAAAAATTGGAGAAAGAGAAAGAAGTTTGACTTTAAAAACCAAAACAAAGTCAAGTCTTTCATATTATTGTCTGATATCTGGGGCAATAGTGACCTATATTTGGGTGTTCTTTGACCTGACCAGCTAAAAATAACCTTTGACATGTAATGCACATGCATTGAGCAATGACCAATCAGAGTTTGCAAGCTATACCTGGACATGATTTTAGCCAATGAGAAGGAATAGGACAGTATGACAAGGGGATGAACAATAAGCTTGGTTGAAATTTGTTCATTGAGGGCAGGGGCTTGTTGAAGTATACAACCAATTCTCAGTTGAACTGGTAATCAAAAGACTTGATTTGTCAAGTGGTTGAATTGAACTAGAAGATGTCAGAGGAAAATGGTGGGAAATCAACTCAGGTTTCTGGTGAACCAACTGAAACAGTTAAACTGCCTGATCTTTATACAGCAATGGCTGGAATCTGTTACAATAACTCACAGAAACTGGATGAAAACAGATCCATGATTGACCATCAGCAACATCCTCATCATCCACCATCACAACAACCTCCATTGAAAAATGAAGACAGTAGTTCTGATGATGATAAGCAATCAACTGCTGTCACGACTGCATCAAGTGAATCAGTTGCTCACAATCAAACTTATCACACTACGGAAGCCAAAAATCAGCTTCTAACCAGCCATCAAATCCCCAGTTATTCAAGCTGGGAACAGTTGTCTTGCCCCTCCCTCCAGAATTACCACGGGGCTCAGGTTATCAACCCCCTAGCTGCTGCCCAGTATAGTGAGTATTACAACCTATCGTCGCGTTCTGGTGGAGTCGTTTACGAAGACTGGCAATACCCCGTTTACTATTCCAACTATTACGACACTGGCACCGACATGTCGAAATACTGTGATCAGAAAACCAGCGATACCTCCAATAGCTACGAAAAGAGCAAAATGACCCTTGAAAATTGTCACGATTCTGGCGGCGATCGTACCTGCTCGACCCCTGACCTTGTTCTGTCCGTACTTCAGATGGAAAACCAGATTAAGAGTGAGATGAGTAAAGAACGGCTGAGTCATTGGTATAGTCCAGTTAGCAGTCCAGAATGTTCGCCCGCTACTCCGCTAATGTCAGAAAGTCCAGCACCGTCCACGGAACAAGACAGCGGCTTCTTCTCAGAGGATCCTGTTTCCCCGATCTTCATGTCTCATAAACAAACGCTGACGCAAATGGAAGAAACCAATCAAAAGTATTTTGTTTATGTCCCAGAGAACACGGAGGAGTGGAAAAACTATCACCCTATTAATCCTGTTCCGTTGATGTGTAGCGATATGACACGGAAAATGGTTAACAAGTCGGCCATCTGTGGATGGAAACCCACCTCAGGCTATCCGATTTTCCCTCCAGAAATGCTCGGAAGAAACAGTGGCTACAAAACTGATTCTGAATCCTGGCAGATGTCAAATAAGTATCCCCAGTTTCCGATGCCAATATCAGGAAAAGGCCACAAACACATAAAAACCAAGGCTCAGCGACCAACAAGATGTGTGACTCCGATGCCATCATCCACAGTAACCTCTGGTAACCAGGTTCAATCAGATGCTGTTTCATCCACCTTGACACCATCAGCCATGTTCCAAGAACAGAGTCCAGCAAGTAAAGCCAGCTCAACAGTCCCATCATCAGCACCTGTCGTTCCGTTACCGTCCACCAAATCAACGAAAGATATCGTCGACAGTTTCATCAATCGAAAGTCTGGCACAGTTAATGCACAGACAGTTAAACCCAGTAACCCAGTCAAACGCAAGTCATCTGACGTCGACAATAAGTCTAGTCTCAGTAGCAAGCGTGCACGTCACAACGAGCCACTGAATCAACACGCCATTTCCGTCATGCAGCGCTGGTACGAACAGAACAAGGAGAACCCTTATCCTTCGAAACAAGACAAAGAGGACATCGCTCGGCTCGGAGGCATCTCCATTACCCAGGTCAAATCATGGTTTGCGAACAAACGAAATCGAACCAACAACACCCGCCCCAAAGTTCAGAAACGAAACGTGGAAGAGAAACTCTTAGATTTATGTCATCAACTGGCTTCCGACGCTAGAAAGTCCACGATGGATAATGCCTTCGTTATTCAGCAATTATCGGCCATTATTGACGAACACCATGCCATCCATTAAACATCTCCATCAACCCTGATCATATAATGTGCTATTATTATTATTAATTTATTTTTGTTATCATCGGCTAGTGCTAAAATATGCTGAATGTGCAATTTATTCTATGTTTGAAATCATTTTTTTTTGTGTGGTGGACGTTATGTCCATGATTATATGTGCAATTCTAGTTTCATTTTTTTTTCTGTAAAGTAATTTATGTTGCTTTGTTTGATATTGGATGTACAAAATATGTGTGTGTTATTTTTGTGTTGTCATGGAAATTAACATTGGATAATTTTGGGGATTCTGGATTAATAATTAATTTGTGGATCAGTGATAGCAAGGTAAGACAATTTGGGTGATTATAGATGCATCATTAATATGTGTATCATTTCTGTTTAGATGTTTGTTTTCGTTCGCATTCCATACGCAAATCTGACTGCATACGTAGAAATCTCACTATAGAGTGGAGTTACACTACAATGATTAGACTAACATTAGCCATCTTTATTAGCCCAGTAGGAGCAGAATAGTAGGATGTTAAACCCCATTTCATTCAGAATAACATCTGTAGTTTTATTTACAATTTTCTTATTTCTTGTATCTTGATTATATTTGGAGGGTCTAGAGCACAAGTGATCTAACTACCTACCATTTTAGTTGGTTGTTAGATCACTTGTGCTCTAGACCCTCCAATTGTGGCTTCTTCTGATCTTTTATTGTGTTTCGTGGACATGCAATATGTAATCTTTTCACTGCAAATATATTCTAATTGATTATTCAATATGGGCATGCAATATGTAATATGCAATATGGACATGCAATATGGACATGCAATATGTAATATGGACATGCAATATGGACATGCAATATGTAATTGTTTCACTCCCATCTGATTATCTAACAAGTAATTAAGATAACAAAACCAAATATTAACACCTGAATTGGATTCAATCAGATTAAAAAGAGGCCCATCAAAAGATTTTACCCAATATTTATAGGTGGCACTGGTTTGTTTATCTTGTTTTCAATTTTGAGTGAAGTCTGTGTCACTACAGGCCCGGGATTTAATATATGTTTATTTGGTGCAATGTCTATTTTCGGTCTTGTCCGCAGGTTTATCTTGTAGATTTTTGTTTTACGTGTAGTGCGATCCTCCTGCACTTAGTATTCGATAAGATATATATTTATTCGTCAGATTTTGATTAAGTAGCCTAATCTCGAGATTTCCATCTTTCTAAAATGGAGGGAAGCGAAATTAATCGTGCCAAGACATTGGTCTATTATTATGAATCGAATATTTTTATAGAAAAAAAAAGTTTGCCATTTCTAATGTCTGTGAAAAGAATTGTTATTCACATAGTCATAAAGTTATGGTAATTAATTATCATGATTACATATATAAAGTAATTGTAATGTCATTAATCACATGGGTAATGACCCCCCCCAAAACGAATGATTTTGTTTCAATATCATCAAAATTCTGTTTTAACTTTATCAATCCATCACATTCAATTCTTGTAAATCCTTCTGGGTTTTTTTCACTCAAATTTTTATCTATCTTTGTTAAAATTAGGTAAGTTTGAAAAAATTTTTGTTTTTAAATCATTCAGATTAATCATCTAATAAATTATTTATTTATAAGTTAATACTCGTAACTTTGCTTTGTTTATGTTTTAGCCCAACACTTCAATATTTATTATAGCAATATTACAATAAATCAGGTATCACATACTTGTGTTTTAGTTGGAGTTTCTGTATTTAATGTTTAGTATCAAACTATTGCTGGCAAATTTGTTAAGAATCATAGAAAACTGTTGAGTTTCTACCGTCTTGTAGTTTAAAATGGTCTGTCTGGATAATGAGTGTTGGTTTACAACTATTTATTGTCTCAAAATGGTGTTGAATAATTAACAGTCTAATTAATTACTCAACACTGTTCGGGGAAACTAAACAGTTTTAAACCAACGCTCATTATCCAGACAGACCATTTTAAACTACAAGACAGTAGAAACTCAACAGTTTTCTATGATTCTTAACGAATTTGCCAGCAATAGTTTGATACTAAACATTAAATACAGAAATTTCTGTTAAAACAACACTATGTCATACCTGATTTGTTGGGAATAATCGTGTGAAATATTGTATAAAACTAGAATACTTTAAGGATTCAGAATTTTCATTGGCTGAAAGTTGAGTTTTTAACCAATGAAAAGGCAAGATTCTTAAAATCTTAATATAATTTTTGTTAGAAAACTTTAATTATGGTTTAAAAAATAATTTCTGTGTATCAATGATATGTATGTAAATTCAGTTTGGCTGTGAACTCAATATGACAATATATATAGCCCCACCCCCTTTCCAACGATTGGCTAATACAGGTACATATATATATATATAGCCCCACCCCCTTTCCCACGATTGGCTAATACAGATATATATATATATATATATATATATATAGCCCCACCCCCTTTTCCACGATTGGCTAATGTATCACTTCTATTAAAAACTTTATTGTATAGTTGAAATGTATATACACAGAGATTGCCTGTAAGCTCAATAAAGCCTTATTCCTCCATTGCCACGGGTGGGTATATTGCCATTGCCATGGGTGGGTATAGTATATTGCCATTGCCACGGATGGGTATAGTATATTGACTAATATATCACATCTGTTAATAAACTTTATTGTATAATAAGATGAAATGTATATTGGATAATTTATGTATATTATTGAAGGGTTGGACTAAGGGGCCTTATTCTAGTGTGTCCTGGGCCGTCTCTCCCACTTTGACGGGATAAATCTTTTCAATAATTGACTGTAAATGGTGGTTTTTAAAGTATACAGAAACTGTTTTGTTTGCTAATTCATCATAAATGACGTAACAGGATCCCTAAACTTAGAAACATTAACTTCACTCGATGTCTCCCGGCCCCCCCACCACAGGGGTTAATCCTACTCGCAGCCTCCCTCTCAGTGCACCCCTTGTATTATTCCATGAGAATGTGATATTATATGAAATGTGATAATGTGTAATATATTTGACTATAAATAGTGCTATAATAATTGGATACATGAATTAATGTTTATACATATGTTGTTACTATTTTTTTTGTTTATTTTTTTTTTTGTCTAACTTTAAATATTTACAAACTTTTGTCTCAGATTTTTATCTAGAAATAAACAATGCAAGCTGATCTTTTTGTCTTTGTTTAGATGTGACTAACTGGACTATTCAAGATGGCCATACACCATGCAGTATACTATTTACATGGGACTGATGACGACATGAAAGGGGTTTAAAGGAGCTAAATCTCTGATATTTGTGACCTAGAAATTGACATAAATGGGTCGCAACGCATATAATAATTTATTATGAAGGTATATAACCTGATTTACATTCAATCATTTCAGTTTTTACTCTAATTTCAAATCAGTAAAGTTCAGCGAAATATGCCAGAAATCTCAATCGAATGGCTATCTCTAGCATCTGGTTATTCCAGTCTACTCCAATAGTATTTATTGCACATTCCCTAAAGATAAGAATATGGTGTCAGCGTTTGACATGACATGTGGAATATGTCTAGCCTCATTCTTCGAGTCCCTTGTTTCAAATGACGTTGAAACACAGTATGGTACACGATTCGTGTACCAATGGTAAAATATTTATTTTGTCTTAAATATTGGATATCAGAAGCCCATCTTTTCATAGTAAGATCACAACATCAATGTTGATTTAAATTGACAAATAATTTGTGTTTTCACTGTCGAAGACTTAGGATGATATTGAGTTAAGGTCCTCTCTTCTACACCAAAAGGGTTAAGGTCCTCTCTTCTACACCAAAAGGTTTAAGGTCCTCTCTTCTACACCAAGTGAACTAATCACGATGGACATATACTATATAAAATACGGTATTACGGACATCTTATTTACTCCTCATCCATTAACAACTGTCATCGGTGTTTTACGAGAACATGGGTGTGATTTTTATTTTGTTCCATCTTTAAAGAACAACAATATCCAATAACACACCACAGTTAAACCCCTCTTCAATTAACGCTCAATATTTAACAACACACCATATTTAAAAACCCTCTCCAATTAATACTCAACTAAAAGATCTAAGTGTTCAGGAAAGATGCATGTCGAAAAAAAACAGGTTGCCAGGCAATAAAAGAAACGCCCATATAAACTAAGTTGTCCGATCAGTTCATATCACCTGTTTAATATATATTCTTTTATAGGTAATTTGATTATTTATTGATAATTGTGGACGTCTAACCATTTGATGGACGACCAATCTAAGCAAATAAACTTAGTTTAGATGACAGAAAATAAACAATGGACATTATTCAAGAATAATATAAGTACCAGAGATTAAACATACATTATGCAAGAGCTAAATCTGCCTATTGCAGGTCTTTCTTTAGGCCTGAAATGTTATCTAAATTATTAATTAGACATTAATTAACTTATCCAGACCGTAATAAACTCTCGATGGCATCAGATTTCTCTGATATTAAAGAGATTAAAACAGTACAGTCATATTTTGATTTAAGCTAGAAATGAAGGAGCGAAACTTCTCTTCGGAAAACCAGTACGGTGGTTGAAATTATTGCACACGTCTTGTCAAACCTTCAACAGCTAATATCTTCGCTCGCAATAGAGTAATTGGAATAAAATTTTCAAATTATTCATTTTACATTATTTATTTTCGAACTATTGTAGCCAGAATGGCTAGTTCTTTATCTAAATCTTACATAATGTATCTTTAAACTGTTAGAATCTTTAAACTTATATTCAGCAATTAGTGTGATTAAAATCTTATTACTCATTTACATGTCAATTAATCTATTCAATTCAAAACCCAACTAAAACGATCCAATATCTTTATTTATTCAGAGTTTAAAAAAAAAACACCCCCAACCCCAAAACATAACAAAGACAATATATATATGTAGTCATATTCAGAGTTTAAAGAAAACCAAAACATTACAAAGACAACATATGAAGTCATAATCCACGGTATATTTTGTAGAATTCATTACTAATGAAGTCTGAAATGAAGGTGCTTGGTGATACCCTAGGCCAACTCCGCGATTATATGCCCCCCCTGACTCACATATAGGGCCTAGTACAGAGAAATGTTAATTGTCTACGATATCACCTTAGGTGGAAGTGGACGTAAAACCCCAGAAACGAACGAACGAACGAGAAATGTTAGAAAGGAAGAGCCAAGTTAACAGCGATAACTTCAAAAAACTAAAACTGACTCCAGACGCCATTCCCCGTACTCTCTCTACCTCACTGCATACAGTTTACTTTTGGTTTCAAAGATCTTCCAGATGAGGAACAGTATAGCAGAGACATCTGTTGCTACTATCAACTTTCCCAACTATATTTTCAAATGAAACCTGTTCTTTCATAGATACTTTACGCAAGAGCTAAATCTGCAGGTCTTTTTGCTGGCTTTAAATTTTATACAAATCATTATTATTTTTTAGGCATTTATTCACATAACAAACCCATAATGAACTCTCTAGAACATCGGATGTCTTAGATATTTAATGGATTAGATCATCAATACTATTAATTGGGTAACGTTAAAACTGTCATCACTCAATTGAGATTTTGTTTATTACCATGGCAATGGTACCCGACAATAAGCTATTTCTTAAGATAAACCTCTGGGATATTTCAAGCCCCAGCTCAAGCATAGTTTAGGAGTGGCACCTACATGGAGAGAGAGAGAGAAATGTGGTTAACGTCCACTCGACACAAACTAGGTCATTTCGGGACTAACATATGGTTTTAATTTTATTTCAATAATTCGCTTGCGCGTAGGGGTCTTTAGCAGTGGGAGGAAACCGGAGGACCCGGAGAAAACCCACGAGGTTGGACAGGCGACCCTACTCCTTGCCACGTACAACCGGGGATTCGAAACCACGCCAGTTGACTCAATGACAGACTTTATGATACAGCGCGCGCACGCTAACCATTCAGCCATCCAACCCCCCTGCACCTACATGGACAAACAAGGAAAGCACCGTCTCGATGGTTGGATGATATGTAACACCAAGGTCCACCTGTATACACTGTTCAAAACAGACACTAAGCTAACTGACCAACATTTTAAGTCCCAAATTGACGATTTTAGTCGAAAATAATAAGTATCGGCTACATCGAGAATTTTGAGAGGTATATATATTCTGCTTACATTTAAACATACATTATGCAAGATCTAAATCTGCCGATTGCAGGTCTTTCTTTAGGCCTGAAATGTTTTCTAAAGTATTAATTAGACATTAATTAACTGATCCAGGCCTTAATCAACTCTCGATGGCATCAGATTTCTCTGATATTAAATAGATTAGAATGGTTCAGCGATACTTTGATTTAATCAAATATGGAGGACCGAGACTTAGCTTCGATCAACCAGTACGGTGATTGAAATTATTGCACACGTCTGTCAAACCTTCAAAGGCTAATATCTTCGCAATAGAGTAATTTGAATGAAATTTTCAAATTATTCATTTTACATCATCTACTTTCGAACTATTATAGCAAGAATGTCAGCTCTTTATCTAAATCTTACATAATGCATCTATCTATACTAATATTTGTGACTGTCGTTTGTCTGTCTGTTTGTTTGTTTGTCTGTCTGTTCGGGGTTGGCGGCTACACTAGGTCTGCCCCGAGTCTGAAATTTGGGGTACAGGGGTAGCTCGGACCGGGGAGTAACATAGGCCAGGTGGCGTTAGTCTACCACTTCCGGTTTCGGAGTTATGACCCCCGAGCGAAGCCGAGCATTCTGCTAGTCTTTAATAAAATTGAAAAGGTTAAATTAGTCTTTTTGTGTATAACGGATGTAAACAGAAGTAGGACCGCATTACAAAACAGTATATGGTGGCCATAATAGGGCAGAGATTTATTATCGATGTAGAGTAGATAGTCCTCTGTGTGAAGAATGCAAATAAAATAACCCTTGACATATGGAGTTTTATAAATAGAGTATGCAGAATTCTTCTATCTCACATTACACACGTAACTCATTCTCATACAAACACTGACGTTTAATCTTTCAAAAGGTTACAACTTGAGCTGAATTAATTCTACTTTAATAATTTTGTTACTTACTTGTTCATACCAAGAGGCCACAATATTTTCCTGAAACAATATAAAACAAACGTAACAAACTATCAAAATCTAGTCACATCTACAAGTCATCAGAGTTTTGACAAGGATTGTCTGACAACCAAAATAGTTTTTCGTATTGGCCTAAATTTAATTTCAATACTTTAATTGTGAACACATCACGAGATATTCTTTAAGAGGCATTTAGTAACTCGAAAGATAAATAAACTACTTATAGATAAACAGCTACTATTTTCCTACTCACTGGCTTGTGACATGGGGGATCACGGTGGCTATATGGGTAGGATGCTGGCTCGCTAGCCTGGAGGTCGGGTGTTCGATCCCTGCATTGGCCGAAAAGTTCATCCAGATTTTCCGGCGTGGTTACCCTTGTCAGTGATGCAGGAAGGAATGCTGACAAGGAACAGCCGTCTAGTCGTTTGGGTGGGACGAAAAACCGTACACATTGCCGTGCACGTAAAAGATTCCTTGACAGTTGGAATTCGATATAAGAGTAGGCCGTAGTGCCACTGTCCGGGCAAAATTTCCCTCATAGCACCTTGTATGGCATATGCCTGTCTTCATTAGCCCAGTTCGGAGCAAAACAGTAGGACGTTAAACCCCATTTCATTTCATTTCATTTCATCTTGTGACATGTTCACAATTAAAGTATTGAAATTAAATTCAGGCCAATACGAAAAACTATTTTGGTTGTCAGAAAATTCTTGCCAAAAATCTGATGACTTCTCATAAATATCACATTTCAATGTACTTAATTTTTCTCATCAATTTGTTTGTAGGAATGTATGATTATCAACTAAAATTTACGATTGTAAGTTACATTTATCAGGGTTGCGTACTTGATATATGAGCCTACTGCACATATTTGGATTCATTAAAAAATTTCATCGATTTACTTCCTGTCACCAGGGTAAAATATTTACCTGTGGTAATTTGTGTTTTTAAGTTACGCCAAATTATTTGCAAACCAGAATATTTTTTTCATTTGGCCTTAGAGCCTTAGATTTTACAACAAAGATTTTGAATTAAAATATACGAACCATATAAACGTAACTTGTGAAGAAACAAACAATTCCATCGGGTACTGTTCCACACATATCTACCAGTAAAGTTCCGTAGTTTCTTATCACAGCTAATAACAAAAATAATATCTTTAAAAGTATAAACACAGGGCAGATTATCTTAAATGCTTTACACAAATCCAGTTTTGACGAATCCAATATGCACATTGGGCTTCATGATAATAATGATTTACCTTATATAAAACATAGGTTGCCAGGCAACAAAACAAACATCCGAGCTGTCAACAAGAAATTTTGCATATTTTGTTTTAATTAAAATAATTAATTTGTCTCAAAATATTTACAGCTTGGCGACATCAAAACACAATAAAATGTCTCTTTATAAAATAATTCTATCTCTGGTAAAGTTTAATCTTCTGAAGTTATTTCAAGTCGTTTAACGTCCACTCAACACACAAACTAGGCCATTTCGGGACTAACATGTGAGAGGAAACCAGAGGACCCGGAGAAAACCCACGAAGTTTGAGACGCTATCCTACTCCTTGAAACCACGCCACTTGACTCAACAACAGACCTAATGATTGCATGCGTTAAATGCCTAGACCACCCTGAAGACGCCATCATTGATATAAATACTAACCTACATCTTCTCGAACTTCAAATTTTGATGACATAGCAACTTGATCATTACCTTTACTAACAATCTATAATACATTAATATCTTGATATAAAACATCGGCAGGACTAAAAATATCAATTAATTATTCATTTATCCTGTTGTTTTCTTGGTAAATATTGACCTGGTTGTAAATCGTGATATAAATATCATATCGTGACTACAGTGGCAATACCCAGCACTAGTCAAAACAGGCAAATTGATTTCCTTGTTGATTTGAAAAACTTGTAATTGTTTATCTTACCATAGGACATATACAAATTCTGGCTAGAGTCATTGTAAAGGTTGCCATAGTAACTGGACGGAAATCAAGAATCTTGGGATACATATCTAATGGAGAAAGAGTCTGCAAGGAAAACATATTTAAAATTAAATTATACAACATGTATGTCAATAAATCATTGTTGGTAGTGGTGATTTACCTTCAATTTCTCGCTAGGATGGGAATCTACTTGGAAACTTAAACATACATTATGCAAGAGCTAAATCTGCCTATTGCAGGTCTTTCTTCAGGCCTGAAATGTTTTCTAAATTATTAATTAGACATTAAACATACATTATGCAAGAGCTAAATCTGCATATTGCAGGTCTTTCTTTAGGCCTGAAATGTTATCTTAAATATTAATTAGACATTAATTTATCCAGGCCACAACCAACTCTCGATGGCATCAGATTTCTCTGATATTAAATAGATTAGAACAGTTCGGCCATATTTTGATTTAAGCTAAAAATGGAGGAGCGAGACTTAGCTTCGAACAACCAGTATGGTGGTTGAAATTATTGCACACGTCTTGTCAAACCTTCAAAGGCTAATATCTTCGCTCGCAATAGAGTAATTTTAATGAAATTTTAAAATTATTCATTTTACATTATCTATTTTCGACCTATTATAGCAAGAATGGCTAGCTCTTTATCTAAATCTTACATAATGTATTTTTAATATAAATCTCCAAGGACCTCCCACATCTGGGTTTACTCTGTTCAGTTAGATTTCTATTAACTCAAAACTTTGTTAAAAATTGAGAGAGAGAGAAATGGGGTTTAACGTCCACTCAACACAAACTAGGTCATTTCAGGACTAACACAGGGTTCATTTTTATTGTCACGTACAACCGGGGAATCGAATGACAGACAGCGCGCTCGTGCTAAACATTCGGCCATCCAACCCCCCTCAAAAATTCGGAACATCAACCGAAGATGATCTCCATCACGATTTGGTGTCGGAATACCAACAAGTTGGCTATTGATTTTTTTCACGAATACCCTTTGACTTTGCAGACCCTGGATTGGGAAACGTTGTTCTAGATGTAAGTAAGTGACTGGCTGTTGTTTTTTTCACGAATACCCTTTGAATTTGTGGACTCTGGATTGGGAAACGTTGTTCTAGATGTAAGTAAGTGACTGGCTGTTGTTTTTTTCACGAATACCCTTTGAATTTGCGGACCCTGGATTGGGAAACGCCGTTCTAGATGTAAGTAAGTGACTGGCTGTTGTTTTTTTCACGAATACCCTTTGAATTTGCGGACCCTGGATTGGGAAACGTCGTTCTAGATGTAAGTAAGTGACTGGCTGTTGTTTTTTTCACGAATACCCTTTGAATTTGCGGACCCTGGATTGGGAAATGTTGTTCTAGATGTAAGTAGGTGACTGGCGGTTGTTTTTTTCACGAATACCCTTTGAATTTGCGGACTCTGGATTGGGAAACGTCGTTCTAGATGTCAATAAGTGATATCAGGTGTTCTGATAAAAGAACTTACACCAGATGTAATAACAACTGTTTGAAATCTATCAAAGACAGGTTTAATGGCAATAGAAGCATCCATACAACTAAAATATAGCACAGGATTTGATATGGTTGGTGTTCTATCATCAAACGGTTCAATTATTAACATAAAACCTGAAATAAAGAAAAACACATTTAACGCCTTGTCAACTAAATACTTCAATTAACAAACAATGGTTCAACATTTCGTCAACCTGTCAACAACATCGTGTCAACCTGTCAACAACATCCCATCAACCAGTCAACAACATCCCATCAACCAGTCAACATCTCGTCAACCAGTCAACAACATCTCATCAACCAATCAACAACATCATGTCAACCAGTCAACAACATCTTGTCAACCAGTCAACATCAACCTGTCAACAACACCTTGTCAACCAGTCAACAAACAGCGGTTGAATGACTTGTCAATCAGTCAACAAACACATTGGTTGAATATCTCATCAACCAGTTAACAAACAGTGGTTGAATGACTCGTCTACAAATACAGCGGCTAAAAGACTGGTCAAACAGTCAATAAACACAGTGCCTCAATGTCTCACCAACTCAATACTTCAGTCAATAAACACAGCAGTTTATCATCTCATTCATGCCATATGTTTAAGACTAACATATGGTGTTTTTAAAGTTTCTATGGTTCAAGTAAAATGAAGGGGAGAGAATTTTATCAGGTTTTAAGAATTTCTACCTATTTTCTTCAAGGGCCATAACTCTATAAGTAATTGATAAGACCAATGTCAACAGTATATATTTTAAAAAAGATCCGATGCTAAATGTCATCTGTAGAGTGTTCACAAGAAATTGTGGACAATGGATGGAACAGACCAATGGCAAATACAACCACATTCAAATGTCAACATAAAAAACTGAAATACTTGTAGTATTATAAACATTACCTTTAGCGTATGTACTGACTAATGTAGCAAAGTTAACGAGTAAAGTCAGAGCTGAAAAATCATGTAAGTCTGTTAGTTCTAATGTTCTCATCAACGACGCTAATCTCTCCGCACAAAATCTGAAGAAGTGAAAAGAATGAAAGGTGTTTAAAGTTCTACTGTTTTGTGCCGACTGGGATAATGAAGGTGGCTGGGTATATGCTATACAGTGTGCTATGAGGGCAATTTTGCCAAGCTTACTCTTATTTCAAATACCAACTTGAAAAGTTCTTTTACGTTTATGCCAATGTTTTCCCTGGAAATCTGTTTTTTCATTCCATCCGAATTAATTACAAGTCTCCTTTTTGAATATGTTTATAATTATACAAAATTAAACACATTTTGTATAAAATTGTTTATGCATTGTTTTTTCTTGTTGAATATATATCTTCCAAAAACTCTTCGATAGTTCTCTTCCATCAACAGCTTTAAGACTAACTTAAAAACATATTTATTTTAAAAATGTTTTTGCGCTGTCGTGAATGCGCTTAGAAACACTGATGTGTAATGAAGCGCTATATAAATCGAACAATAATAATAATATTTACATGTTCTTCTACAACACAATATTCACCACTAAAAATAATGTAATTAATGAATAAAATAAAAACATGACCCTACCTCAATGGTTTTCTATCTATACATATTTTTTGAGCGCAGTCTTTCAGAAATGACGGAGGTGATTCAGAAACCACATGTTGAACCCGTAGTCTAGATTTCATATATTCTAAAAATCGCTTCATGAAACTGACAAAATGTTCTGCATTTCGGATGGTGCCTGGGACAGCCTCTGAAGTTGAAAAATTTAATTACTTGAAAAAAACTTAAAGGAGCTAAATCGCTAATATTTTGGGCCTAGAAATTGGCACAAATGGGTCGCAACACATATAATAATGTAATATGAATTTATATAAAATGTTATACATTCAATCGTTTCCGTTTTACTGGGAATTGTCATCAGTTCTGTTCGGCGAAATACAGCAGAAGTCTCAACCGAAAGACAGTTTCTAGCGTCTGGTTATTCCAGTCAACACCGATAGTATATTTTGCGCATGCTCTCAAAATAAGAATATGGCATCACCGTTTGACATGACTTGTGGAATATGTCTAGCCTCATTCTTTGAGCACCTTGTTACAAATGGTACTGAAACGCATTATGGTACACGATTCGTGTACCGATGGTAAAATGTCTATTTTGTCTTAAATATTGGATATCAGAAGCCCATCTTTTCCAGGTAAGACCACAACACCAATGCTGATTTAAATTGCAAAAAAATGTGTGTTTTCAATGTCGAAGATTTTGGATGATATTGAGTTACGGACTTAGCTACTTTAAAGACAGTGAAAACTCTCATGTTGTCCATTTATCAACATTTAGAGACATTTTAATTTTCTAAACCAATCGGATTTAAATACAGATCTATATTTCATTTCATTTTTTTTATACTTTTGATGGCCTACACTACATGAAGATCTGACCAGTTGTACTGGGAGATTGCGTCAGGGGTCGTACGAGTCGCTTTTGACCCTGTGATGTTAGACATCGATTAATCAATCAGCGTTGACCTTTCTTGGGTTTTACCCACAGTTCTGTGCAGAGCATGTATTTATAAACATCTCATGAAAATTACGCAAAACACCATTAGGCATCCATTGCAGAAAAAATAAATGAAATGAAATGGATTTTAACGTCCTACTGTTCTGCTCCTAACCTGGGCTAATGAAGACGGGCATACACCATACAGTGTGCTATGAGGGAAATTTTGCCCGGACAGCGGCACTACGGCCTACTCTTATATCGAATTCCAACTGTCAAGGGGTCTTTTACGTGAACGCCAATGTGTACACGGGACCTCGGTTTTTCGTCCCATCCGAATGACTAGACAGCTTTCCTTGTCAGCCCCTCCGTCCTGCATCACTGACAAGGGAGAACCACGCCGGAAAATCTGGATGAACTTTCTCGCCAATGCAGGGATCGAACACCCGACCTCCAGGCTAGCGAGCTAGCATCTTACCCACTTAGCCACGTGATCCCCAGAAAAAATAAACAAACCAGTGCCACCTTATGTATGTTGTTTCTATGGACATGATATTCAAAGCTATTTTATGTTATTTGGGATTGGTAGACTTGGTTATCCATGTGTTAACTTGAAATTTGGAATAACAACAGATTTTGTTTCCTGAGGTTCAAAAGTTGTTAATTAGGCCTACTTTAAAATGTTTGTTCTAAATAAGTTGTTAATTAGGCCTACTTTAAAATGTTTGTTTTAAAAAAGTAAACTCATACCTTGTAGGATTTCATCTGGTAAAACTGAAAATAAAACCCAGAACATTTACAATAATGAGAGAGAGAGAGAGAGAGAGAGAGAGAGAGAGAGAGAGAGATGGTTTAACATCGACTGGACTGGACGCAAGCTAGGTCATTTCGGGACCAATATATGGTTCACTTTTATTTCAATAATTAGCTTACGCGTAGTGGTCTATAGCGGTGGGAGGAAACCGGAGCACCCAGAGAAAGCCCACGAGGTTGGACAGGCGACCCTACTCCTTGTCACGTACAACCGGGGAATCAAAATCACGCCAGGTGACTCAATGACAGACCTTATGATACAATATGCACGCGCTAACCATTCGGCCAACCAATCCCATCCTCCAACAATAATAATGAGAGGACATTAAAACCAAGTTGGACAATTGAACATTTTGCTGTTCTCAATACAGTCAAGTAGAGTTATTTGTTTTTAGTTCAATCAGGACGGAGGGGCTGACAAGGAAAGCTGTCTAGTCGTTCGGATGGGACGAAAAACCGAGGTCCTGTGTACACATTGGCGTGCACGTAAAAGATCCCTTGGCAGTTGGAATTCGATATAAGAGTAGGCCGTAGTGCCGCTGTCCGGGCAAAATTTCCCTCATAGCACACTGTATGGCGTATGCCCGTCTTCATTAACCCAGGTTAGGAGCAGAAAAGTAGGACGTTAAACTCCATTTCATTTCATTTCATTTTAGTTCAATAGTGTAGAGATTTTTGTTTTTAATACAGTCTTATCAAGTTTTATCTTTTCAATACAGCCTTGTCAAGTGTGTCACCAGAGAATTATTAATTTTATATGAAATAATTAAATGATTTATTATTATTTTACCTGGATTAGCAAGTATAACATCAATTTCTCTTGATTTATATATATTTACCTGGATTAGCAAGTATAACATCCGTTTCTCTTTGTTCGTTAGCTTCACGTAAACCTTCAACCATTCTATGATATTCTTCTCTTAACTTCTTCTCATCACCATCTTTAACTCTGGAGAACAGAAAACATATCACCCTTATTACCCAGGCCTGGATATAACGGTTTTACATGTACATGACAAAATGTCAGGCACTAATTAAATTGTACCTGACATTTTCAACTTAGTGCTGGACATGTATTAATAATATCAATAAAAAAGACAAATCAGTGCCGGACAAAATGACAGGCACCAGAGGTTTAGTGAATGACAAAACCTGAATCTGTGCCTGACATTGACAGTGACAGGTGCCTTATTTCCAGGCTTGAATATTACTGACGATCTAACTGGCAGACCATGATCATCAGGAAACGGCATTCAGCAGATGACCAGTCAACACCTGTCGCATCAATTATATTGTGTCATTCTTGTAGTATAATACTATAGGGTTTATTTTAGTTCTAAGAAAGGTGTTCTGTTTAATACAGAAATTCTCTACCTACATGATGTGTGGCGAAAACTAGGGTAATGAAGTAGCTTGCATTATTCTACTACTTTCTTAGACTAACTCATTCCAAATTATCATTCTTATTACTGACGTTCTAACTGGCTGAAAATGACCTTTAGGAAACGGCATTCAGCAGATAACCAGTCAACACTTGTTGCGTCAATTATATTGTATCATTCTTGTCGTCATTGCTAAGGTTTTCTCTATTTTACTTCTAGTTTGTTTTCATTGCAATCTGATTAAAATACAGATCTATATTTCGTTTCGTTTTTTTTATACTTCCGATGGTCTACACTACATGAAGATCTGACAAGTTTTAGTGGGAGTTCACATCAGGGGTCAAACAAGCGGCTTTTGACCTTATGACGTCAAGACATTGATTAATCAATCAGCGTTGACGTTTCTAGTGGTTTACCCACAGTTCCATGCATCAAAAGGCCAAGAACTTGCCGTAACAGACTGTTTCATTGGCTAATAGATTACATCATCCAGAACATGTCAATGATAACAACTCTTCCAGGTCCTAGTGTAGTAAAGACAAGTAAAACGAAATTTTGAACTATAAAAACGAAACGAAATAGGATTTGTTTTAATCTGATTATTTTTATTTTGAGTGAACCAAATATCTTTACAGATTCGGGATGGTACAACACAGTGGACGTTAATGAGTGGCCAATGGATCCATTCAATTGATTTGATATTGCGAGTTGTCTGCAGCTTTGTCAAATTATGGGTTTTGAATGCTAAAAAAAATGTTTATTTGCATACCCTCGTCTCTTTAATATTTCCAACCCATCCCCCCTCTCTTACCTTTTTATATGTCTGTCTAAAGTTTCAATATTTGCTGAACATCTTTCTAGAGTTCTTTTAGACATTTTAACACTCATTGACTCAATACACACATTATCTGAAGTCAAAATACCATAAAAACATTAAATTCCATTTTCACCTGGATTTAGTCGTAATAATCTTATAACATCCTTCCATGCAGGAGCCACAGTATGTTGGTGAGAATATTGCTAGCTGGTTAGCGTCTTAACCAGGAGTTTTTGGGCTCAATCCTATAGTTGGCTGAGAAGATTTCCTCAAGGCCTGTTTCACGAAATTTTAACTAAGATAAAATCCAAATTTTCGTAATTTGATTGGATAATATTAGATTGATTTTAGTGCTTAGCCAATCAAAATTGAAGTATCTACTAAAATTTGGATTTTATCTTTAGTCAAGATTTCAAGAAACAGGGCCCAGGACTATCCAGCCTTGTTTCTCTTTGTCAGTGATGCAAGACGGAGGGTCTCACAAGGAAAAGCATCTCGTTGTTCAGATAGGAAGAATTAGCAAAAAAAGAAGTATACTACGCGGCTGCCATGGCAAAATATCCCCTGTAAGGTAGATGCCCGTCTCTATTCGATCTATAATATCATAGTTATGGCTGGTAATTAATTTCACAAACAGACTTAATCTGTCACAATGATAGTCTGGGAAACATTTAACGTCCTATTCTTCGGCACCAAACAGGCTACAAAATGGTCTTGGGCTTTGCATGCCAGAAGGAAGAGGTCATTAGTATTCTACATTTGGCATGGCCACCTCATGAAATGCAATGTGGTGTAACATCCTACATTTCTGCACCACACGGGCTAACAAGAGTCTGGGCTTCGCATGCTAGGAAGAGAGAGGTCATTAACGTGTTATATTTGGCATGTGTTGTAAGTAGAACATACCTATATTATGTGCCTCATCAAATACAACCACAGATTTCTTCGCTAATTCTTTTGACACCTGTTCAGCGATTTTAGGATCAAGTAGATAATAATAACTATATATTATAACATTAGCATGGAGGAGCTGAAATATACATAAATATTCTAAAATAAACATTCTTATCTTTCAAAGATATATAACTTACTTGATCATCATTTTCTTATCTTTCAAAGATATATAATTCGATCATCTTCTGGTAATCAAACAACCAAATAGCTTATTAGTCTGCTTGATTAAACTTGAGCAGAAAATGCCCATTATCGAAATTAGTCAAGGTCTTGATGGAAATGAAACTATATACCAAGTTTCACCACTCTCACTCAATCAGAATCAAAGTTATCATGCCCAAAAGTTTCAACTAAACAAATTACTAAAGTTCATTATCGAAAACTATACATGAAGTTTCAAAGGTAAAACATTTTACTTACGGCATATCTAGCAAGAAAATAAGGACAGAAATTCTTTAATCTACCATATTCTTTAAGATCATCCTGTAAATTTAAAACATTATCGATGTCTTAGTTTTACCTTTCATTGGGTAAATCAAATTAATTTAAGAATTCAATTGTATAAAACTATTGGACTATAATTATAATAATAATAATAATAGTGTATATTTATAATTCGCAAATTTCCATACACATATGCATCCTCAAAGCGCCAAACATACAGATAAAACACCTATAACACAACACAGTTCTATGTATAACAATCTCTATATTATACACACACCATGTTTCAACAAGATTTCACTGGTTATTATTATTTATATACTGGAAATCTTGTCAAAATGTTGTGTGCAGCTGTAATTTTTTTCAGTATTTAGGTTTTTTCAGATTTTTCTGGTATTTAGTGTCAAAAATTATTCTTCCATTACTTATCGGTGTTGTTTCAGTATTTTTCGGTGTTTCTTCAGGATTTTTGAGATTTTTGAGGTGTATAGTGTTGCCCGTTGTGTGTATAGTGATTGCAATGCCACTCAAAGATTATAATTACACATCTATATCTCCTATAGCAACTATTGATGTTTTAAGGTGACTATTCCCTATAGCAACTATTGATGTTTAGATGTAACTATCACCCATAGCAACTATTGATGTTTTAAGGTAACTATCCCCCATAACAACCTTCTGTAAAGTTCTTAAGTAAGACTGATAATGAGGTAATATTAATGTTTAGATGTAACTATCCCCAATAACAACCTTCTGTAAAGTTCTTAAGTAAGGTTGATTTTAAGCTCCAATAACCACATGCACTGAATTTTACCTGTACAAGGTAAGCAGCGGTTGATACCTGGCGATAATTTTTATAGATTGTGTGTCGATGTGTATGTCAGTTAACAACCTATTTCTAAATTTGTTATTTGATATAGAAATCAAAACGGCAGTTAATGTGTTATCTACTTCATATAGACGGAGGTAGTTATGGAGGTGTTGATATAGACGAAGGTAGTTATGGAGGTGTTGATATAGACGAAGGTAGTTATGGAGGTGTTGATATAGACAGAGGTAGTTATGGAGGTGTTGATATAGACAGAGGTAGTTATGGAGGTGTTGATATAGACAGAGGTAGTTATGGAGGTGTTGATATAGACGAAGGTAGTTATGGAGGTGTTGATATAGACGAAGGTAGTTATGGAGGTGTTGATATAGACGGAGGTAGTTATGGATTACTTACTAAACTATAAATACCAGCAGGTAATGGCGTGTCTCTACCATGAGCATCAAATTCCTGAGAAAAAAACCCAGAAATATTATTAACACAAAATATAAGAGTAGGCCGTAACACTGATCCCTGAGTGGGTCGAGAAAATTCATCGTAATTTTCTGGCATGGTTCCACCTTGTCAGTGATGCAAGATGTAGGGTCCGGCAAGGGACAACGTTTAGTCATTCAGATAGGACGGAGAACCGAGGTACCGTGTGCACTACCTTGGCAGTTGGAATAAGAGTAAGCCTTAGTGTCAGTTCAAAATTTCTCTCATAACAGACTGCATGAGGTATGTCCGTCGTCAGAAAAAACAGTAGGACATTAAACCCCATTTCATATCTTGTATACAGGAGACTACAGTAGTCAATATAATGTATTGCTGTCTTCAATAGCCCGGTCTGAGTAGAAGAGTAGAACGTTAAACGCCATTTTATTATCAATAATCCTGGTTAGTGAGCTCACCTCGTAAAAATCACAGATGGGTATAGATGGATCATGTTTATATCGTTGTCGAATGTGTGAAGCTGTTAGTTGATGACATTGTCCATCTACAGTTTTACCATCTCTATTCTGACTAACCTAATACAAAAAACAACAAACATTTATTATAAAAATACATGTAATCAATCAAAACTTCAGCCAATACATTCAATATTGCTTGTTTTATACAAGTCAAATTATTAACATTTAACTCAAGGTTCAAATATGTAGTACTTTAATATTATTAAACCTGATTGTAGAGCAGTTATTATGTTAAATATGTATTATTTTAATGTTATCAAATCCAATTCTACAGCAGTTTTTATGTTCTATTTGGTAAATGTCAGCTAAGGATAAATATAAAACCAAACTAAATTATAAATTATGTGAAATGGGGTTTAACGTCCTACTTTTCTGCACCAAATGGGCTTATAAAGACAGGCATAATGCTAAATAGTTTTTTTTTATTGTACCGAATTTAGTAAGGAAGATCGAGGCTAGCCTCAAATTCAAAAGCTTATATCTTGGTTCAGAGTGGAGCAATGTGAGTTAAATTTTCAGCATATTCTATTTACTTTATCTATTTTGTAACTATTATAGCGAGAACTGTCAACTCTTTATCTAATCTCCCATAATGCCCCTTTGAATCATTATTTCTTGGTCTGTTTATACTGTGCAGAAGTGTGGGCAGGCATGAAATTAAAAACATCATTTATGCTGTCGATTCATCGTGTGACAAAATGTCACTAAACAATAAAAATAAATAGATCTACCTCGGGATGTACACACAAATTCTTTCTTGAACTTAAAGCTAGTCCTAATATTTCTTGTGGCTGCCCAGTTTCTTTCTCATAAAATGCCATCAAATTCCTTAATTCTTCTACAACCTGAAGAAATAAACAAACAATACATATACAGAGATTCACAGAGAAAGGAAATGGTATTTCATTCCTACATTCTGAGCTTGAAAAAAACAAATGAAGGAACAATACAGGATTATAATCTCCTTCCTTTCTTTACCAACCAGGCTAATGATGAGGGGCATACACCAAGCAGTGAGCTATGAGAGGAAAATTAAGCCTAGGCAGCACTTCAATTCCAACAGTCAAGTTTTCTTTTAAGTGCACACGGCACATCAACATGTACAAGGAACTTTCTGAGCCACAACCAGGATTGAACATCTGACCTCCTACTTAGTGAGCCACCCCTTTAATCGCTGAGCCACGGTGGCTTACAGAAGTCCAAAAGACAAAGACATAAACTTAGAAACAAGATTAAAAAGTATAGAGATGGGTTTTTACCAGAATGTGATATGATAACGAAATGGGATTTAATGTCCTACTTTTCTGCACAAACTGGTTTAATGAAATGAAATGAAATGAAATGGGGTTTAACGTCCTACTGTTCTGCTCCTACGCTGGGCTAATGAAGACGGGCATACGCCATACAGTGTGCTATGAGGGAAATTTTGCCCGGGCAGCGGCGCTACAGCCTACTCTTATATCAAATTCCAACTGCCAAGGGATCTTTTACGTGCACGCCAATATGTACACGGGACCTCGGTTTTTTGTCCCATCCGAACGACTAGACAGCTGTCCTTATCAGGCCCTTCGTCCTGCATCACTGACAGGGGGAAACCATGCCAGAAAATCTGGATGAACTTTCTAGGCCAATGCAGGGATCGAACACCCGACCTCCAGGCTAGCGAGCCAGCGTCTTACTCACTTTGCCACGTGATCCCCCTGGGTTAATGAAGACGGATATCTCATACAGTGGGTTGGATGTGTTCTGTATCATAACGTCTGTCATTGAGTCAACTGGTGTAGTTTCAATTCCCCGGTAGTACGGTTGCCTGTCCAACTTTTTGAGTTTTCTCCGAGTCCTCCGGATTCACCCCACTACTAAAGACCAGTACGCGCAAGCCATTTAATGAAATAAAACTGAAACATATTTTAGTCCCGAAATGACCTGGTTTGTATCGCATGGACGTTAAACCCCATTTCTCTCTTTCTCTCGCTATGAGGGAAGTTTAGTATTTTATAAAAGGCACCAACCTTTTCGAGTTCTGGTACTGTTCTTGAACAATAAATAAGTTTAGTGACTTCCAATGGATTAGCCTGCAATAATAGAACAATAATCTTATATATAGGGATGTTGTTTTGTTTTTACTTACCCAGTCTTGTCTGACTGACAGTGATATTGATATTTATAATTTGTATGTGTAAAAAAACCATTTGAAACTTGATCAGAGATGAAGAAAATGGCTGGTACAAAACAGGTAACCTGTAAAACCTGGGTAATTGTCTTGATATCACCGTCCAAGGAATTGAACGTTAAACTGTACAAGAGAGAGAGAGATGGGGTTTAACGTCCACTCGACACAAACTAGGTCATTTCGGGACTAACATATGGTTTAATTTTATTTCAATAATTCGCTTGGGAGGAAACCGGAGGACCCGGAGAAAACACATGAGGTTGGACAGGCGACCCTGCTCCTTGTCACGTACAACCGGGGAATCGAAACCACGCCAGTTGACTCAATGACAATGACAGACTTTATGATACTGCGTGCACACGCTAACCATTCAGCCATCCAACCCCACTAAACTGTACAAACTTGGGAGCTAAATAGATAAATTACCAATATGGTTTCCTTCAATTAACCAAGTCAACATTGACAGAAGTATTTCTTTTTTCCCACATTGGTGATTCTGAGAATAAAATACGTACAGCACACGGTAGATTTTATAACTCTTTTGACATTCACAAAAAACCTTATCTAGGTGTTGATATTCTATAGGTGTGTATGAAATGGACACAGAGGATTTTTCCTGGATTTTTGTCAACTCTTCATGAAAATCCAAGTGATCTGTTGAGCGCAGGACTAATTTATTCACATGGTTTCAAGTTTTCATGTCATCTATGAATGACTACACAGTGATCATCCTAGGCTGACCTTAAAAATATCTCCTCGATTGTGGGTCGGGTTTGGTGAAACAAAGATATTTTTAAGGTCAGCCCTATAGGCCTGAGATTCATCTAAAGTTAGGCCTAACTATGATTAGTTCTCTTACCTTCATGTAAGCGACAACTAGGGAGAGCAGTGAGACCGTTTTACCTGTTCCTGAAGGCATCTCCAGAGCACAATGACCCTGAAATTATATACAACAATGATTAAAGTCAGAAAAATCATTCAACACAAAAACTTCAACATACATAAAGTCAGTCAGAAAATCCTTTAACAACTATAGTCTCTAGTTAAGTTTTCACCAAAGGGGAGTTAACTCTGGAACGGACAGTAAATATTAATAGGTTTCTTCTGTCCATGACCCCAATTTCATGTCAAAGTGTTATTAATTTGCTGATTTGTGTTATACATGTATAATGGAATTTTGATGATAAAATTCATCGTGGGTAAATCCTTTACAGTACCGAATAAAATACTGCTCCCTATAACCTAGAAATAACGATATGTTAAAACACCACTAATGAGAGAGAAGGGGTCTTTAGCAGTGGGAGGAAACCAGAGGACCCGGAGATAACCCACGAGGTTGGACAAGCAACACCACTCCTTGTCACGTACAACTAGGGAATCGAAACCACACCAGCTGTCTCAATGACAGGCTTTATGATACAGAGAGAGAGCGAGAAATGAGGTTTAACGTCCACTCGACACAAACTAGGTCATTTCGGGACTAACATATGGTTTAATTTTATTTTTTAATAATTCGCTTGTGCGTTGGGGTCTTTAGCAGTGGGAGGAAACCGGAGGACCCGGAGAAAACCCACGAGGTTGGACAGGCGACCCTACTCCTTGTCACGTACAACCGGGAATTTGAAACCACGCCAGTCGACTCAATGACAGACTTTATGATACAGCGCGCGCACGCTAACCATTCAGCCACCCAACCCCCCGCTTTATGATACAACGCACACATGCTAACCATTCGGCCATCCAACAGCACCACCACTAATGAACTAGTACCGGAAAATTTGTAATTTTGTGCCGCAATATAAAGACCCTGGAAAAAAGAAAGACTATGATAGACAAGAGAGTGATTACACCTTGAAAAGCCTAAATCTATGCCTGACATAGGCCTACATATAATCTGTAACAGACGCCTATTTCCACGTTTATTTCTTGCCGTTTTATTTCTTGGACTTTTTTTTACAAAGGGGGATAAATATTATCAAATACATAACAATGGGACTAGTATTAATGTGGGTACAAAATGAAGCGTTTATAGAATTTATATCAGAGATTTGAATTTTTGTTCCAATAACGAGTTATGGCAACTGCCAAATTTACCGATGCATCGATGTTTACTGTGGATATCGGCACTAACAAACACTGAGATTGTATTAAGAGGTCACCCCAGTCCTAGAAAACTCCCTTGAGTGGCCAGTGAATACAGATTGTATTGTAGGCCAATAAACGGTACTGAATCAAGTTACCTGAGCATCAATAGATTTCTTCAACTCCAGCATATAAAGATATTGTTCTGGATATATATAATCATAGGGAAAATAAACCAATAAACCATCAATATTCAATCTGAAACAAATAAACCAACAATTAGTTTAATCAAAACTGAGAATGGACAACATCTGGGCTCCAGGGCCTAGATAAAATTCAAATTTTAGTAGATACTTCAATTTTGATTGGCTAAGCACTAAAATCAGTAGATACTTCAATTTTGATTGGCTAAGCACTAAAATCAATCTAATATTAACCAATCAAATTACTAAAATTTGGATTTTATCTTAGTTAAAATTTCGTGAAAAAGAACCCTGTTTCGTTCCTTTTTTCAAGTCTGGACAATCTCAATCCCACAGTATAAAACTTTATTCATCGATTATCACTGGTAAAACTTGCCGGCCTTTCGTCAACCATTTTAAATCTCAGTGATGTATCCTTCAGCGATCGCTTCAAAAAGTTTCAACATGGCAGCATACACTGTAACCCAGGTATTGTTTAATCTTGTGTATCTAGCACTAATTTCTATCACATTCGTTTAATATCAAATCTTTGTTTAAAAATCGTTTAAAATCACCAAAAATCATCTAATTTGTACTGATTAATTTTGATAATGAGTGTCCAATTTACAAGTATTTAATTTCCTGATCACTGTTCAAAAATTAATCATTATACATCATTAATCAATTGGGTTGTTTATTTTTTAACAATGATTGAGAAATTAAACACTTGTAAATTGGACACTCATTATCAAAATTGAATGGTCAGCTTTAAACTGGACAGAAGTACAAATTAAACAATTTATGATGATTTTAAACAGTTTTTACAAATTTTTAAAAAAAGATTGGATATTAAAGGAATGTGAAAGAAATTAATGCTAGATACACAAGATTAAACAATACCTGGGTTACAGTGATATTTACCAAATCATTCACATTGCTCACTCAAAATAGTTCGTATTTTGAGATGGAATTTTGACACAAAAACGTTACGTTTTTAAATTGAATATGACAATTTGGCATAAATAACGGTATATTATCATATATGGATATAAATTATTGTCTTCTAAGTTGAAATAATGGTGAATTTGGGTAGATATGGGGTAAATTGTGCTACCCAAATATCGTGCTAAATGCGAGATAAAAACAAGATACATGAATGAATCATGATGATTGATGTAGCCTATGTCAAACACGGCCTATTGTAGTAATATGGAGGGTAAGAATTTGTGCTAAAGAACACATATGTAAAATAATATTATGGTCTTGATTAATTATTCTCCATTGCCAAAATATTAGCTATGGTATAATTTTATTTTGAAACGCAAATTAAATTGTTTATGAAATATTGCGACAATAACAGGACATGGGGTCTAAAGGCAAGGAATGGGGAAATATGATGGCTTAAACAATATTGTTATCTTTCATATTATTGATTCTAACTTCATAGCCAAAAATATAGAAAGTATATGCTGGTTATTTTGATACGTTAACTAAGCTATAGATTAATGAACATGTTGGTCTTTACATTTTTCTTAAACCAAATTAGGTAACAAATCCTGTCGATATACAGGTTGGGGTGGATGTCCATTCCATATTTGGAATTTAGCTGTTATCAGTTGTTTACGTAAATAACACAGACAAAAGAATAGGCAGCTATATAAGAGAGCGGGGCTAGAATAACTGGGAGAGATCATGCAGATTCTTTAGAAGAACAGACACACACTGGGTTCTTTAGACGACCATTTCACGATGTAATGGTTTCCTGAATCTAGCCTCGCTGGTTAGACTTTTACAGGAGTGGGGTTGGAGAGAAAGAGATGTTAATTTTAAATATTGTAATGTCGAATACTGTGTAACTGTTGTGACATAAAAATGTATAGAAAGAAAAACTATCATTGTTCCTGTTACTTATTCGATTTCTATATCGTGTGAAAACACAATGGTGAAGTCCTATAACAGGAGAGACACAACAGTAGCAGTCCAGAGCCATCCAACCCACCATTAGACGATCAGGCCAAAAACTAATATAAGATGTGTAGTCGGATAGTACTACACTATATAGCATGTACATTTTGTGACATCACTAATTATCAAAACAACACGTAGAATCAAGCCAATTCAATCGTTTATTTGGACCTTAATCAAATCAGTTCATTTTGTTTCACAAACAAGCATACACACTGGCCACATGATTCGGCAGGAATAACAAATAAAAATAAAAGTAGAGAAGTCAGAAGAAAAATGAAGCACAAAATTTAAACAGATATAATTCAACAACAACAAGAAATTCTCACTTCATTTTGACAAATTTATAAGTAGTTTCCGTGGGCTCCGCTGTCACATAAATAAATCTAAACCAGGTGGTAATAAATGCCTGTAAACTTGATGGATTTAATTCTCAATGGCTTTGTGCTTCTTTGCAGTTTGTTTAGCCGGAAGCACGTTTTCTTGCCGGAAGTCGAATAGAAGGCGTGATTGTTTACAAATGGCCGCCTCCACTGGAAAACAAAAATGATATCCTCAAATGAATTTCGCACAAGATTCTCGGTTAGATTATGTACTACTGTTTTTGAAAACAGGCAACACCCTCTTCATCTTCTCATTTCATCGGAAGATGCTTCAGTTGTAGGCATAGAGGACAAGACAGCTATTAGTGGCATAATTACTGTTTGTAATGACGAATCCAGCAATAAAATCGAAAGCAGACCGACTTCACCTTCATCGGCATCAGTTAGATCACTACTTAACAGATCTATCTCATCTGATAGATGCGCCAGTACTTCATCTTCAGACAGAGAAATATTTGTGCAGTTGTGTGTGATTGAAAGCGTTGAGTTGATGCCTAACCAAAATAGTTTTACTGGTAGGCACATGAGCACAAGTGGAAACATTAAAGACCTACAGTTAATGTGTTCCGACTCATTCCAAGATCATTATGACATACTGGAAACTTCTGAACTTTATTTTCGACAAGTGAATTTATTTCCATTGCAGAAAATCATTTTTTCTGTCAATGATCGGGATGCGTTTGAGTGGCTTCAGAAGGTGAAATTTAGCATGGGTTTATTGGTCGAAGTGTGCGAAAATGATATTTTGGTATCTAAGGGAGATGTTTTCTTGTCCCCTTATCCTGAGGTGTTTCTAAACGATCCCGATTTTCAGAGTAATTGGTTTTTTAAGATGCAAGTGCTTGAATGTCTTCCGTTGCAGCACGGTAAAATGGGAATCAACACGCAGATAATTCTATGTTACGAAGACAATTTCTTACCCCCAGCTAATTGTAGAATGCATAACATTTCACCCAGTAAAAACATTTTTATTTCGGATTTCTGTAATTCGATAAGATTTGCAGACAATGCGGATGTAAAAAGTGATGAGGGATCAAAAGATAAAACAGATGCTCCTCCAAAATATGTCTTTAACGCTAGTTTTGTCGAAAATCATGGTGCATGGAGGGATATATTGGATGGTTACGATCCGAAAGATTCTTTCGATGTACACAGTGTCATAGGCATATCAAGGTCCCTGATGGTAAAATATGGGTTTTTCGATGGTAGCATGTTGAAGATATCAGTTGTACCCGAAGACGAACCCCATCTACAACAGTCCCCGAAACACCAGTTGTCCTTAGAAAGTGACACCCTTGAACCAACAAGTGGAATAAAGCGGAGAGAAAAATTAGTCATGGTGAAAAGTTTGACGACTTCTTTAAAAAATCATAAAACTGTGTATGTGTCCCCGGTGGTGTTGTTCAACCTTCAACCTGGACCTGTCCTTGTGGAAAAATTTCAACTTTTAGCTGAGGTATTCTTTAATGACATTTTAAAAAATACAAATGTGATCATAATCATGAACCAAGCTGTCCTCTTGGAATTGTATATCCAAAAATAGAAGTTTGTCAGTCAATGTATACATGACTTATTTGTCAAGTTTCATGTGGATAAGGGGGGTTGGATGGCCGAATGGTTAGCATGTGCGGGCTGTATCATAAGGTCTGCCATTGAGTCAACTGGTGTGCTTTCGAATCCCCAGTTGTACGTGACAAGGAGTAGGGTCGTCTGTCTAACCTAGTGGGTTTTCTCCTAAAACCCCTGGTTTCTTCTCACTGCTAAAGACCCCTTCGCACAAGCGAACTATTGAAATAAAACTGAACCATATTAGTCCCGAAATGACCTAGTTTGTATCAGGTGGACTTAAACTCTCTCTCTCTCTCTCTCTCTCTCTCTCTCTCTCTCTCTCCATGTGGATAATACACAAAATGTCAGAGCCTTAGGATTACATATGTTTAAGAGTGTAGCCTCAAGAACAAGATTACCCAGTTTACGTAAAACCAATGTTTTTTCATTGAAACAAAATAAAATACCAATCCATACAAGGTACCAAGTCAAAATGTTGTAAATGTTTCGCCTGAAGAGAATTGAATTTGTGTGTAGAAAGTGCACAGAGCATACTTTAAGTATAGAATTTGACGCTATACAAATGTTTATATTATTATTATTCTTTTGTCAAGAGTCTCATCAGAAATCATTTATACATTATTTTTTTACCTACAGAAATTGATAGATCTACCATTAGAGAGTGATGTTGATGAAGGTTGTCAATCACTGAGTTCATCATGGAGTATCGGTTTACCAATAGCCAAGAAAGTTGAAATCAGCTTAATTAACTCCCCTTATTACAGTCCTCAAACATTCTACTCACAGGCTATCAAAAAATATTTTACAACACCAAGGTAACTAAAATTATAAATGCTTGGTAGCTTTAACAGATTTTGAAAGGGACATGACATGTGGTTTAACATTCTATTTCTCTGCATCAACAGGGTTATGAAAGACTTTCGGACGGGGTTTCCCCTTGTCATTGGTGCAGGACGGGTGGTCTGACAAGGACAGCTGTTTAGTTGTTCGGATGTGACAAAAAAAAAACAAGATCCCATGTATACATTGGCGTGCACGTAAAAGATCCCTTGGCAGTTGGAATTTGATATAAGAGTAGGTCATAGTGCCACTGCCTTGGAAAAATTTTCCTCATAGCACACTGTATGGCATATGCCTGTCTTCATTAGCCCAGTTCGGAGCAAAACAGTAGGACGTTAAACCCCATTTCATTTCATTTCATTTCATTATGGAATACAGGGATATGCCCATACTCCTCACAGTGTATTGTTTGATTAGACCTAATCCTACTCAAACACTGCCCTACTCACTTTAAATTTCTGTCCCAAATTATGACTGGTTAACAGTCCGATCAACAACCATTACATAACAACGTAACAAAATCAATCGGGATTAACCAGAGCTCTAAATAAGTTACCATAATGTGTCCGGTAACAGATTTTGAAAGTGAAATCTTGGAGACTTTGCTTAGGCGTGGGAGTTTCCACCTATGGTTTACGTTTCTCATGAGATTTGAAGAATCTTATTGAATTTCAGTGATGTCATAAAATAACTTAAAGAGTTATTCACCTTAATCACTTTGTAGAATCTTGTGAACCATCTAACAACACATATTGTTATCTGATCTGCTTGAAATTTATATGCATTGTTTTCCATAATTAGTGCAACAAAGTATCTAATTTCAATAATATTGGTTAATTAATTCTATAGTATTTAAAGACTCTATGCATGGTTTTATGAGGCTATAGATTCCCTTGAAAACAGTTAAGGTTCAATCTATACTAATATTTGTGACTGTCGTTTGTCTGTCTGTATGTCTGTCTGTCTGTTCGGGGTTGACGGCTACACTAGGTCTGCCCCGAGTCTGAAATTTGGGGTATAGGGGTAGCTCGGACTGGGGAGTAACATAGGCCAGGTGGCGTTAGTCTACCACTTCAGGTTTCGGGGTTATGACCCCCGAGCAAAGTCGGGCATTCTTCTAGTCTCTTATAAATATAAGTCCAAAATCAGTTCATTTCCGTTCAATATTTACAACAGATGGCTGCCATCTTGATTTGTCATGAACCAAAGTGATGGGCCTGTTTTAAATCCCAAGATTGGAGATTATATAGTGTTCATATTTTGGTTTTGTTGTGGGAGATTAGATGAAAAACTGGCAGTTCTCACTATAATAGTTAAAAACTAGAATGTAGGGAATATGCTGAAAATTTCAGTCAAATTGCTCCACTTTGAACCAAGATATTAGCAATTGATTTTTAGGCCTAGCCTCGATCATCATAACTAAAGTCAGTACGATAAAAAACATTGTCTCGATTAGCCATTTTTGGATTTATTTGCCAATGAGCGTTGAACAGCAGATCGGATTCAAATCCAGTAAAAATCCGACACATAAGATGACACCAAGAGTTGATTATAGTCTGGATAAGTTAATTGATATCTAATTAATAATTTAGGTAACATTTTAGGCCTAAAGAAGGACCTACAATTGGCAGATTTAGCTCTTGCATAATGCATGTTTATTAATTAAATGTTAAATAATCAATCTTGAGTATGTGGATAAAAAGAGAGAGAGAGAGAGAGAGAGAAATGGGGTTTAACATCCACTTGACACAAACTAGGTCATTTTGGAACTAAAATATTATGGTTTAATTTTATTTCAATAATTTGCTTGCGCGCAGGGGTCTTTATCAGTGGGAGGAAACCGGAGGACCCGGAGAAAACCCACGAGGTTGGACAGGCGACCCTACTCCTTGTCACGTAAAACTGGGGGTTTGAAACCACACCAGTTGACTCAATGACAGGCTTTATGATACAGCGCGCCCGTGCTAACCATTCGGCCATCCAACCCCCCCATGTGGATAAAGAGGTGAGAAAATTGATATTTTCATAAAAATACAAATCATGCATAATTACTTTAAATAATGTTTTTATGTTTTATTATTCAGATTGATCAGCTTAGGGGATGTTTTTTCTGTGAAAAGTTCAGACGATCCAGAATTTTGGCAAAGTATGGCGATGGATACAGGAGTTCGATTTCCAATAATCTTCTTCAAAGTAATAAGAATTGAATCCTCGGTACCCAGATCGGTGTCACATATTGTGGATTCTAAGAAAACAATGCTACTTCAGGTAATTATTCAAAATCCAGGATCGTATAATTTATTTTATTCAATGCTGCTCTTTCAGTATTGCTAGGTTCCCACTATCACGAGTTGCGCTACGATTGAAATCGTGGAGTAATCGTAGTGATACTATCGGGTCTTATTATATATCAAGGTCAGTCGTAGCAATCCTGTTGATTGTATCGAAACGTATCCAAACATATATGCACGTACCAGATCGTGGACTCAGTAGGGACAATCATAACGTTACACATCGCACGACAGTGGGAACGTAGCATAAATATTATTATCCAATGCAATGAAATGAACCTGACTAATGAAGATGGATATATGTCATGCAGTTTGCTGTGATGGATATTTTACTCGGACTTTTATTTCCCCCAGGGGGGTTGGATGGCTGTATGGTTAGCACGCATGGGTTTTCTCCGGGTCCTCCGGTTTCCTCCCACTGCTAAAGACCCCTACGCGCAAGCGAATTATTGAAATAAAATTAAAACCATATGTTAGTCCCGAAATGACCTAGTTTGTGTCCAGTGGACGTTAAACCCCATTTCTCTCTCTCTCTTATTTCCCCCAACTGTTTGTCGAATTCCAACAGTCAAGAGTTTTATGTGGATTCCAATATTTTTCCTCCCATCCGATCAATTAGGTGCTGTTACTTGCCGTCCATCCTGCCCTACTGATGATGAGTAGACCGCACTGACAACTCCCGAGGAAGATAGGAACTGAACACTTCCAGGTCAATGAATCAGTGCTCCTCTATTACCACACAATGAGTTGTTAGAGATTTGTAGACCTCCTGGCTAGTCACTATGACGACTGCTTTTAACCCTTTAGACACCGACACCCTGAATGACATTTGGACGATATACTAGCCTCGCACGGTAAAAATGGCCCCAATTTTTTTTTTAATATTATGAACCCTTAGAACCTGAGCGGCTGCCGGTACTCCAGACAAGGGGCATCTAAGCTGTTTTTTTGGCAGCTCGGGCCCAAAAGGTTAAGAACTGAATAGAGAGAGACAAATTGGGTTTAGCACCCACTAGACACAAACTAGGTAATAAAAAACCAACATGAGGTTGGACATGCGACCCTAAACCTTGTTATGTAAAAGCTTGAATCCATGCCACGTTAGACCACTCAACTACCCCCACTCACCCCAAAAAGAATTCAATAGATGATATAGTATTTTGTGTAATATTATTTTGTGCTTAGGCTGACCTTAAAAATATCTTTGTTTCACCAAACCCGACCCACAATCGAGGAGAAGGGTCGGTAGGTCGGGTTTTTTTTCAGATTTTTTTTTTTAAGAGCTAATTTGACAGCTTGATAATTTTCCGGGTGCAAACATTCGTCTTCTTTTATAGGCAAACAAATCAATGACATCGGGATTTTTCTTGATGCACGACTCGCACACAAATTGCGACAAACTCACGTTTGAAACTCCCTCAACACGTTTTTAACGATCGTGTGGGTTGTGCCTTTATTTTTCTCGAAAAACGGATATTGAAAATATCGTCGTCATGTTTAAAACGACGCCCCACAGACATAGAGGCAGAATCATTTCGTGGGAATGGACGTGCTTTCGTCTGCAACCATTTTGTTGAGAAGCGACACCTATGACGCTTTCGTCTTGATCAACCAGTTTCAATAATGAATCAAACCATAGCCATAGTAAAGGGAAATAACTCTCGTGATATATTTCAGGTTGACACACAAAATAAAATAAAAAGATCGCGGAAAAGTGCAATAAAATAATTTAAGTCGGGGGTGGTTTTAGTTAGTCGGTCGCGTTAGGCGAAACAAAGATATTTTTAAGGTCAGCCTTATCTATCTTTAAATTACGACATTTTGTTTTGTTTATTTTTGCAGAAAGGATCCATTCACAGCTATGTTCCAAAAATCTCCTTTTTCTATCTTTCAAACAAAGACAGTCCGTACTGGCATAGATTATATTGTCCTGGGTTAAACAATTATGTCACCAAGTTAGAATCACTTGTGTTACCGTTTATTACACAAAGGTAAGTTATACAGCTAACAATTATATAATTTATAATATGGGTGAAAGTTATATACATAGCTAAGTTATAATACAGGTGAAAGTTATATACAGGTGAAAGTTACTGAATTTTGGCAGAATTTAGAGATGTTATATTACCCTGTTTTGCTACCTTCATATTGGGTCTAGTAACTAGTCTCTGCTTCAACTATTTCCTCACTCCTGAACTTTTGTACATTTTCTATACAGAACTAAGCTGAACAGTCAAACTTTTTATTGAAATTATTTGTGATTTTTTCCTGAATTTTGGCACAATTTTATGTCTGAAAAGTTTTTGTGAAATTGTTCTTTTTCAGGCCTTGTAATGGTTCTAGAATAACGGTATTACCTACGATATTATTGTCTGGTCCTGTTGGCTGCGGTAAAATGACCGTCATAGAATGTGCTACTTTACGTCTTAGTCTGCACATGCAACAGGTAAGGTTCGATTCCTGCTGATATCACAGTTGGCATGATTGAATGAATAGTTCTCCCAACAGGTAAGGTTTGATTCCTGCTGACATCACAGTTGGCATGATTGAATGAATAGTTCTCCCAACAGGTAAGGTTCGATTCCTGCTGATATCACAGTTGGCATGATTGAATGAATAGTTCTCCCAACAGGTAAGGTTCGATTCCTGCTGATATCACAGTTGGCATGATTGAATGAATTGTTCTCCCAACAGGTAAGGCTAGATTCCTGCTGATATCACAGTTAACATGATTGAATAGTTCTCCCAAATATTCTGGTTTAATGAACATGTTTTTCTACCTGCAGGTGAATTGTCATGATTTAATTGGTGAGACAGCGGCAGCAACAGAATCTAGAATTAAGAACTGTTTTCTGACAGGTAGGCATCATTTATTAATCTGTAGGTGTCACAGAATTATTGTCTAATTTTAACAACCATACAGTACATGAATTATAGATTTTTGTGTTATTAGAAAATGAAAATGAAATGGGGTTTAACGTTCTACTGTTCTGCTCCTATACAGCTCACTTTTATATCGAATTCCAGCTGTCAAGTGCTTTTACATGTACGCAAATTGGTACACAGGTCCTTGATTTTTTGTCCCATCCAAATGACTATATGTTATCGCTCCTGCCAGACCCTCTGTCCTGTATCACTGACAAGGCGGAACCACACTGGAAAATCCCGATGAACTTTCTCAGCCAACACCGACCTCCAGGTCAGCATACCAACGTCTTACTGAGCCATCATCACATCCCCCTTGTGTTATTACAGAAAATTGGGTTTTGTTCACTCATGACTCATGTAGTATCAGATTTATAATATTTGTGTTTATAAATCTTTGTCTATCTTGTGTAACCATGGTTAGTTGGTAAGTATGGCGCTGGATCATGGTGAGTTGGTAAGCATGGCGCAGGGTAACCATGGTGAGTTGGTAAGTATGGCACTGGATAATCATGGTGAGTTGGTAAGTATGGTGCTGGGTAACCATGGTGAGTTGGTAAGTATGGCGCTGATTAACCATGGTTAGTTGGTAAGTATGGTGCTGGGTAACCATGGTTAGTTGGTAAGTATGGTGCTGGGTAACCATGGTGAGTTGGTAAGTATAGTGCTGGGTAACCATGGATAGTTGGTAACTATGGCACTGAGTAACCATGGTGAGTTGGTAAGTTTGACGCTGGCTCACTAGTCCGGGCCAGTTTCACCTTGTCAGTGTTACAGAAAGGAGGGTGTCTAATTGTTCTTCTGGGCTTACCATTATACAGGTCACAATTCTATGGAATACAATTACTGCTTATTAGTGAGCGACGTTTCGACTAGGCTTCTCTAGTCATGAAAAGAGGTATCTCTGGTTGGTCAGCATTAACTAAGTATTGTTGTGTACATGTATATATTGTCTTGTTATATTTTCATATTTTATCATAGCTTGATAATGACTAGAGAAGCCTAGTTGAAACATCGCTCACTAATAAGCAGTAATTGTATTCCGTACAACTGTCACCTGTATATTCCAATTCAATTACTAAATGCCATTGAAACAATTTAATCCGGCTTACCACTGTCAGCACATATTAAATAAAAATTTCTATCATAGTACACTGTGCCTTTTGTTGAGGCAGAATAGTTCTATGTTAAACTGCTTTTATTTTTTAAAGAACAATAAAGTATCCTGTCTAATTTCAACAATATTGTTTAATTAATTCTAGAACAAAAATAAAAATGTTTGGGGTGCCCAAGTTTAGATTTGTCGTTGATTGCATGAAATTATGTGTAATTCAACATGGCTTCTGAGGGGGCTAATATAGTATGATTTAATTTTATACTTTATTTAACTTATTTGTTTTTATAGCAAGTGTGTTTTCACCATGTGTACTGGTATTAAAGAATATTCATGCCTTAGGAAAAGAGAGAGGTGGACAAATTGAAGGTTAGTGATTTCAGATTTTACATCCACAGATTATTATTTAAAGAACAACTGTTTTATTTAAACAACACAGCTGTTTATTTTACACAAAGTAAAGTCCAACTGGAGTAAAAAAATAGGCCTGCCGATCATAATCTTACTAGTCCATGTTCAGAACCTTCAATCTTTGTGACTGTACTATCACTCTTACAGCCTGATCACCACTTGTTACGACAATAAATAGACATAACTTGTATAATATATCTGGACAAAACAGTGAGCATGGACTATCAGCATGGTCTGAAAATATTCTGATTGATTGTAGAAAATTTGAGGATTATGACCATGTAAGTAATGTCTGATTGTAGAATATTTGAGTATTATGACTATGTAAACGATGTCCTGTTGTAGAATATTTGAGGGTTATGACCATGTAAAGTTATTTTGTTGCTAATTGTATTGAGTCAGGTAGCTCTGAATATTTTTAAAAAATTTTGTTTTTATAAATATTTCAGATCCTAGAGTTATTAGTGGTTTCCACAACAGTATTAAACAAATAGCCTTCGAAAAAACAGAATATCCATTGGTTGTCATAGCAACCACCAATAATCTACGAGCTGTTTCCGAAGATATGAATGATGTGTTTCTACACGATATTATCATGGAGGTAGTAAAATAGTAGTTGTGATTCATGTTTGTAAAAAAGAAGAAAAAATCCTCTGAACAGGGACTAAAAAATTGTATAATACCAGAGTGATAATATTGTTTTTATACACCCACATGCAAGCAAGCTCATATATTTTCAACCTATCTGTCAGTTTTTACATCTAAAAAATATTATAATAAAATCATTATGTCCTGATCCAACCCGATTGGGTTTTCTGTAGGTCCTTTGGTTTCCTCTCACAGCTAATGACCCCTACGTGATTTTGTTGGCATCGTTTTTTCTTGACAGTCATGCAGGACAGAGGCCCTGGCAAGGAACAGTTATTTGGATGGAGCGAAAAACATCAAATAGATTATTCAACTCATTGATTGATCACAAATTTAGGAAAATGAGGTTTAACATTTACCTTTCTTGCCCGAACAGCAACGTGATTGCCTACTCTTATTTCAAATTTCAATTCTTAAGGGTTCTTTTATGTGCACACCAATGTGTACACAGGACTTCAGTTTTTTATCCCATCCCAATGACTAAACACTGTCCTTGTCAGAACCTTCGTCCTGCACCACTGACAAGGGGAACCTCGGCCAACATCTTATAGTTTCAAGCCAGCGTTTTACTCACCCAGCCATCGTCACTCCCTTAATGATAATAATAATTTGTGCTTTTGGTTTCGTTTGATATTGAATTCCATAACTTGGTAGCACCAACTGCGAAAGATCTATCTCTTGATCAAACCAATGAGAATAAATGATTGTCTACGATATTTCGATCAGGAAAATAGTCTATTGGGTTGGGTGGCCAAATGGTTAACACGCGGGATATCTCTTGGTCCCCCGGTTTCCTCCCACTGCTAAAGACCTGTATGCGCAAGCAAATTATTGAAATCAAATTGAACCATATGTTAGTCCCAAAATGACCTAGTTTGGGTTGAGTGGACTTAACCGTCTCTCTCTTGATTTTAGGGTCTGATTGATAGATTAGATATTATAGATGTTATGATGTATTTTAGGGTCTGATTAATAGATTAGATATTATAGATGTTATAATGTATTTTAGGGTCTGATTAATAGATTAGATATTATAGATGTTATGATGTATTTTAGGGTCTGATTGATAGATTAGATATTATAGATGTTATGATGTATTTTAGGGTCCGAGTGAAAGTGACAGATTTGATATTATTGAAGCTTTAGTTGATGATGAACCAATAGAAGCTGATCTTTCAATAAAACATCTGGCTCAGAGAACAGCTGTAAGTATTGTTATCACAGTCTATCTCGCTCAGAGAACAGCTGTAAGTATTCTTGTTACCACAGGCTGTCCTAATGGTGGGAAAAATCTGTCAGTAACCCTAGGCTGTCCTAGGCAACAGTCATACATACTGGGTTTTCTAAAGGTGCAGACAGGTGCAGACAGGTGTAAGTAATGTTACCTCAGTTTAGCACTTGATCCATGTGATTTACTTGTGACTAGCTGCATTTAATGTTGTCACCTGATTACAAGGCATACTTAATTTTGTCACTCCAATCTGTCCTAGTGATTGAGTACAGACATAGTGTGTTCGGTTGAGTTCTTGTCGTCCGCAACACAGAACTGTGGGTACGCTGATTGGTTAAACATGATGTCATAAATCAATGACAACTTGTATAACCCGTGACGTAGCCTCCGACAACAACCAGTCAGATCTTCGTGTAGTGGAGGCCATCGAAAGTATAAAACCAATATAGATCTATATTTTAATCCTTCTGTGTATTTTTCAGGGATTTGTTTTAGGAGATTTAGTCTGTCTCGTAGCCCATGCTAGAAGAGAAGCGTATTCCAGCACTCTCAATATCAAGTTAGTCAAAAACATTTTCCAAGCTGGGAGATATTTTATTGTTGATATTTTGATTTTGTTTTTTTGATTAAATTTGAGTACATTTAAGTTAATTAGGCCGTCAAAAATTTGAAATTTTTCTAAACATACTAAATGATGTGTAGAGTCTTTAATGTTTAATTAATAAAACAAAACCCAAATATTGACGATAAATAATCACCTGAATTGAATTGGTTCATCAAAATATTTTATTGACAAGATCTTTCATTTCTCAAATAGCCATCTTATTTACAAATGTTACCACTTCCATTCAAAAAACTTAAACTCGGCAGTCATTTTTCTTTTCAAGTAAAAAAGAATTTGGCAACCAACTATTTTTTTATTTTTTTTAAAAACAAAAGATCGTTTGGGATTTATAGTTACATGTCAGTTTTAATTGTATCTTTCTTTCTGGTTTTTTTTTCAGTGGTAATGTAAATTTATCTCAAGATGAAGAAGAAGATTTAGTTTCAGCTGGTGTTATTTTACAACAAAAACATTTCGAAGCTGCTCTAGATAAATTACAGACAGCTCATTCTGATGCTATAGGTGCTCCAAAGGTAAGACCACTCATTCTGATGCTATAGGTGCTCCAAAGGTAAGACAGCTCAGCTTCAATGATTCAGATTCTATTGGTCATCCAAAGATAAAGATAGCCCGTTCTGACGCTATAGGTGCCGCTAAGATAAGACAGCCCGTTCTAATACTATAGGTGTTTGAAAGGTAAGACCACTCATTCTGATGCAATAGGGTCCCCAAAGTAAGGACCACTCATTCTGATCTAATAGGTGCTCGAAAGGTAAGACAGCTCATTCGGATGCTAAGTGCTCCAAATGAAATGAAATGAAATGGAGTTTAACGTCCTACAGTGTGCTATGAGGGCAGTTTTGCTCAGACAGTGGCACTACAGTCTACTCTTATATCGAATTCCAACTGTCAAGGGATCTTTTACGTGCACGCCAATGTGTACACAGGACCTTGATTTTTCGTCTTTGTCAGGCCCTCTTTCCTGCATCTCTGACAAGGGGGAACCACGCTGGAAATTAAGTGCTCCAAAGGTAGATTCATATAGCAGTATATTATTGTATCAAGTCTGTCCACCATTTTACTCAAGATTATACATAATATGATAGATTTTGGGGGAGATTACTGAGATTGTAGTTCCAAGGAGGGGAAGTTTTTGAGTCTTTTTTTAGTCTTTAAGAAGGAATTATAAAGAGCTAGAAATTGATATTTCCCGAGTTATTGCCCCTGCCTATATTAATATTTTCTAGTAAAGAAAGAGCATCTTTTTTGTGATGATCATATATTTTATATATTTATAGATACCAAATGTAACGTGGGATGATGTAGGTGGATTAAGTAGTGTAAAATCAGATATATTAGATACGGTACAATTACCGTTACAACATCCAGAATTACTGGCTGCTGGACTCAAACGATCTGGTCGGTTTCATTTCATACTCTTCATTTATTCTATGTATTCTAAGGTATTAATATTTGACTTACTTAGTCAAAAAGTATTAATAATAGTGGTCTGAAGCCTTCTTTAGTTAAAATGAGTTACCTCCCTTGATACAAATCTGTAATGTTAGAATTAGAAGTATTCTGGGAAAGAGTGATATGGTTGTTTAATGTCATCCTGATGTCTTACATCCCTGAATGCCACAATTCAAGATCAGTCAATTATCGGTTACACAATTAGTATCAGACAATGCTTGTGTTATCTACCAATCTGATTACAATACAGATCTATATTTCGCTTCGTATTATTATACTTTCGATGGCCTACACTACATGAAGATCTGACAAGTTATAGCCATAGGTCACGTCAGGGGTAATACAAGGGGCTTTTGATGCTATGACGTTAGACATTGATTAACTAATCAGTGTTGATGTTTCTAGAGGGTTACCCACAGTTGTGCACCTCACGCCAAAAATCTACCGTAACAGATGGTTTCATTGGCTAATCCCTCACATCATCCAGAACGTGTGTTATATAACAACTCTTTTAGATATTAGTGTAGTAAAGAAAAGTAAAACAAAATAGGATTGTATTATCTACTCACGTCAATATTTACCAATAATTAACCATACATTATACAAGAGGTAAATCTGTCTATTGCAGGTCTTTCTTTAGGCCTGAAATGTTATCTAAATTATTAATTAGACATTAATTAACCTATCCAAACCATAATCAACTCTAGATGGCATCGCTAGCCTGCGATCTTTAGTGGATTGTGAGCCGAGTTACTGCATAACTTTGATTCACGGTTTAACAATTAAATGGATAATCGAGACTATGCTGTTTATCGTACTGACTTTAGTAATGATGACCAAGGCTAGGCGGAAATTCAATCGCTTTGTTCTCGGTTCATAGTGGATCAATTTGAATGAAATTTTCAGCAAATTGCCTTTACATTATCTAGTTTTTAACTATTATAGTGAGAGAGGCCAACTCTTTATCGAATCTCCCATAATGTATCTTTAACCATTTTTACCGATATTTTGACTCAAGGGAGGTAAATTCATACTGTTACCAACTTAATTATTATTTCCTTTTACTATAACCATATTTGGTATGATGAATTGTAGGTGTATTATTATATGGACCACCTGGAACAGGTAAAACTCTATTAGCTAAAGCTGTAGCCACAGAATGTTCTTTAAATTTTCTCAGGTTAGTACACCATAATTTTACTCGTATGTCATGATTTAATTTCACGTCTGTGTATTCAAAAGTTGTTCATTGTGTATTGTATGTCACTGGCTTATGAACCAGGAGGTCCTAGATGCGTTCGCTCCGTATTTTGGCCAAGTTAGGTTTTCTGGGATTACACAGCTAGTTTTCTCCTTTCCAATGGTACAGGATGTAGAATCAAGTAAAAGCGCAAATTACCCAGTTCTTCGGTTTGGACCCAAAAAAAACCTGAGGCCCTGTATACAGTTTATAAGGGAACTAGGCATCAATCAAAAAAGGGGAAAATTGGCTAATCGACCCTTGTATATGGTCATTGGTCAGCTACATTAATTTCTGACAGATCTGTAAAACAAAGAAATTAGACATCAAAGGTTGGTGGGGGGGTTGGATAGCTGAATGGTTAGCGTGCACGATCTGTATCAAAAAGCCTGTCATTGAGTCAACTGGCGTGGTTTCGAATCCCCGGTTGTACGTGACAAGGAGTAGGGTCGCCTGTCCAACCTCGTGGGGTTTTCTCTGGGTCCTCCGGTTTCCTCCCACTGCTAAAGACACCTACACGCAAGCGAATTATTGAAATAAAAAAGTAAACCGTATGTTAGTCCCGAAATGACCTAGTTCATGTTGAATGGACGTTAAACCCCATTTCTCTCTCTCTCTCTCTCTCTCAAAGGTTGGTATTTTTTAATGAAATATAATTTATTTATTGTTGTCTTTTTTCAGTGTGAAAGGACCAGAACTGATCAATATGTATGTTGGACAAAGTGAAGAAAATATTCGAGAAGGTAAAATATAATAGTGATTGCCACATGTAAGAAACGGATGTAATTTCTATCAAATATCTTTGGTATATTAGGTACAACAAGTTGACTTTCAGAGTGATGTAGCGGGTTGGATGATTAGTGGTTTAATATGTGCACAAGAAATCACAAGGTTTGTCATTGTGACAAGGAGTACGGGGTGTGCACAACTCAGAACACTTAAAATTCCAGGAGTAATTTACCAGATTCCAGGAGTCCCTGTATAGAATTCTACATCATAATGTATTTTTTTTACGCTTGAAGGACATTTACTGAGACAAACTCGTGAACTTTTGAAGAAACATTAGAAGACTACATTCAGTTTTATATCTTAAAATATATAGCGAAACCACAAATGTTAATTTTTCCAAGAGTTTTAAGGAGTAATCTTTTTTCGGGATTTTCCAGTACTGGAAATCACATTTTCCTTTTCCAGTATTATCAAGGAGTGTGCAAACCTTGGAGTAGGTTCACATGGCCAACCTTGTGGCTTTTATAAGGTTCCTCCAGTTTCCTCTCACTACTAAAGACCCGTACAGGAAATCTAAATACAGGAAATTATTATTAGATTATTTCTTTATTTTGCTAGTTTTTAAGCGAGCTAGAAGTGCTACACCTTGTGTGATATTTTTTGATGAACTTGATTCTCTGGCACCTAATCGAGGTAAAAGTGCTGATTCTGGTGGTGTTATGGACAGGTAAGATAAATATTTAATCTGAAGAATGCATAAAGCTTAGAAATGAAATAAAATGGAGTTTAACGTCCTACTGTTCTGCACCAACTGGGCTAATGAAGACGGGGGATACACCATACAGTGTGCTATGTGGGAAATTTTGCCTGATCAGTGACACTACTCTTATATCGTAATTCCAACTGGCCTACTCTTATAACAAAGAGATCTTAAGTGCTTGCCAAAATTGACTTGGGACCTCGGTTTTTAGTTTCATTCAAACAACTATACATTATCCCTTGCCGGACAATCTGTCCTGCGCCGCTGACAAGAAGGAAAATCCAGATGGACTTTCTTTGCAAACAAAGTGATCGAACATAGGACCCCCATTTTAGTGAGCCAGCATGGCTCCCTATAAAACTTAGAAACAAACGATTAATGAATAATAACATCCAGCTACATATGTTCAAAGTGTGTTTGCGTACAGACTCTCGGAGTCATTTTTCAAAAGTTATTTGAACATTTGATTCCTGGATAGGTTTTGATGCATTGCTAGCTGATTTCTATATTATGGGGAGCAACTCCTTTGGATGAAACTTATCTTGGGCGCTTCCCTGCAAAAGACATTAGCTGAATGAAACGGAATCGAATAGACCTCCAGATCAATCTCGCGTCACCTATCTGTGGTAGACTAAGCCTATTATTTGGCTTTTCTAGCAAGTTTCTCAGGAAACACTTGTCTGCGATATCACCCAAGGTGAAAGCGGACATTAGGCCTTAAGAAACAAACAAACGAATATTATTTTTAGACTGGAGGCTAGTCTAGACAAACGAATGATTAATTTTTATATGAATATTTTAGAGTTGTATCACAATTATTAGCTGAATTAGATGGTCTGGGTAAATCTTGTGATGTCTTTGTGATAGGAGCTACAAATAGACCAGATCTTTTAGACCCTGCATTATTACGACCTGGAAGGTGAGTACTCGTATTGCATTTTTACAGAAAAATATAAAAAGTTTTCTCCTGGACCTCCCACAGCTAAGGTCTCTCTCTCTCTCTCTCTCTCTCTCTCTCTCTCTCTTTCTGCATTGATATCTTGGTTTTCTTTATTAAATATTAAATAATCAATTTGAGTGGATAAAGCCATGAGAAATAAAATATTGTCTGAAAAATGACGATGAACGAATGTAAATGGTGATTGTGTTAATTTTTTTTAAATTTTAGATTTGATAAACTTTTATACCTGGGAATCAGTGAAGACAGACCATCACAATTGAAGATTTTAAAAGCTCTAACAAGAAAGTAAGTGTTTATTTCTATAAATTTTAAAAGCTCTAACTAGAAAGTAAGTGTTTGTTTCTATATAATTTCTAATTATAGATGTTGAGAGCTGTGGTAAGGGTAAGGGAACTGGATTCTAGACTGAAATGTCCAAGGTTGGAATCTGGGTGTGGTTCTGAGAAGGAGCTTTGGATATTTTAGCCCTGTTGCCACTGCAAAGCTGCCATATTATGCGTTGCATTATCATTCGGATGGGACAAAAACCCAGGTTCACCTATTGGTGTGCATGTAAAAGAAGTCTTAATAGTTGAAAGTCGATCAACAGTAGACAGAAACACTACAGTTATTCCAAATTTGATTTTGATTCCCCGCTTTTACGTGACAAAAAGTAAGTTTTCTCCGGGTCCTCCGGACTCCTCCCACTGCTAAAACTAAAATTGAACCATATGTTATTCCCGAAATGACCTAGTTTTTGTCAAATGGACCTTATAATCAATTTCTCAATCTGCCTACTCCAAATATCTCCTGTCTATATATATAATAGCCATTAAAACAATATAACCACATGTCAGTCTCAAAATGACCAAATTGTTTTCCTTTAAAGTAAATATTGAGATCACGTCACAGGTTTATCTTGGTTAATTTGTGGTGCAGGAAGGAGGGCCTAGTGAGGGGTAGGGTCTAGTAGATTGAGGTGCAGGAAGGAGGGCCTAGCATGGAGTAGCGTCTAGTAGGTTGGATTTTACGGAACAAAATGGTTCCCATTTACATGCTAACATCCACGTAAAAGAATAGCCCTGTTGATTTTAAAGAAGAGTATCACACTGCTGTTCGGGCAAAATTTCTCTCATAGCATGACCTATGCATTTCTCTTATATCACATGTACTGCATGGCATATACATGTCTTTAGAAGTCCAGATGACGCAGAAACACCATTTCATTTCTTTTCTTGTCCATTTCCTAGTTTCTTGTTTGTTAATAGATTATTTTGTTATTTCAATATTTCAGGTTTCATATAGCGAAAGCTTGTAATATGGAGAATATTGTTTCACAATGTCCCTGGAATATGACCGGTGCTGATTTTTATGCGTTGAGTTCCGATGCCATGTTGAATGCTCTGAAAAGGAAAATTCAACTGTTAGAAGATGGTATGTTTGGTTGATTCTAATCTTCAACACATCTGTTTCCCACTTCAGTTCTATCTGTTGCCCATATCGCTAATGTTTGGGACCTAGAAATTGACCCAAATGGGTCGCAACGTATATAATAATGTAATCTGATTGTATATAAACTGATATACATTCAATTGTTTCCGTTTTGACTCTTAATTTCAAATCAGTTACGTCCAGCGAAATACGGCAGGAGTCTCAACCGAATGGCAATTTCTAGCGTCTGGTTATTCCAGTCTATTGTGCATGCTCTCCAGATAAGATATGGCGTCACAGTTTGACTTGAGTTGTTGAATATGTCTAGCCTCGTTCTTTCTGGTCACTTGTTACAAATGACACTGAAACGCACTATGGTAAAATGTTTATTTTGTCTTAAATATTGGATATCAGAAGCCTACCTTTTCCCGGTAAGATTACAACACCAATGTTGATTTGACAAATAATTTGTGTTTTCAACCTGTAAGACTTTAGACAAATAATGTTAAATAATTTTGTTTTTCTGAATTGATTTTAATTTAGATCTAAATTGTATGATTAATTTTGTTTTTAAAAAAAAGAACAAAAAAGTGTGAGAATTATTTTCATGGACATCAAAAAATATCTGACATCATTGATTAGAAGCTCCATAAAAAATATTTCTATGAGACACGTAATCTCGCTTGGGTGAGATTTGGTAAGTTGACACACGCATTACCAGTTTTGCCCAGTGTATTGGGTTCCGGTCTGAATTGTTTTTTAATCAACAGTCTGTGGGTGACAGTTTTAATTACTCCCCTGTGTTACTGGAAAAGAGCTTTGCTCAAACACAGCGTTTTGCGCGATGCTTTAGAGCTTCGCTCTATATTATGTGTGGGTTGTGTCGATACTTCACAGCCTCAAGGTCAGATTTTTGGGTACCTGAACCTAAGCCTGTCCAACATTAAATAGGCCTGTCCCGTACAACTGTCAGCAGAGGGATGTATTGATAGAAGTCTTATAATTAGCCAAAATATCTCATACAATTTTCACTTAATCAAATAAACCAACAAAATAAAATCAAATAAAAAATTTAGTACGGTAGACTATCCCAAAATTTTATTTTTATTGATATGTTTAATTTATATTTTAGGTAAAACCGTTAATAAAAGTGATATTATTGTACAAGAACAAGATTTTATCAATGCATTAAAGACGTTAATACCATCAGTATCAGATGCTGAACTAACCAGATATAAAACAATTAGAGACAAGTTCGAAGTTCCTACATAAATATTTTATTAAACTGTGGAATATTAATCATAAAACGATGTAACAGAGACAAGTTCGAAGTTCCTACCTAAATATTTAATTAAACTGTGAAATAATAATCATAGAACGATGTACCAGTGACACATTTGAAGTTCCTATCTAGTGTTTGATTGTTTCAATAAACTGTGATGTAATGATATATGAGAGAGACAGAGGGAGAGAGACAGAGGGAGAGAGAGAGAGAGAGAGGGAGAGAGAGAGAGAGAGAGAGAGAGAGAGAGAGAGTTCGGGACTAACATATTGTTCAAATTTATTCCAATAATTCGCTTGCAGATAGGGGTCTTTAGCAGTAGGAGGACCCGGAAAAAACCCATGTGTATGGACAGGCAACCCTACTCCTTGTCACGAAAAACCCGGGGAATCGAAACCACGCCAGTTGACTCACAGACAGACCTTATGATACAACGCGCAGGTGCTAACCTTTCGGCCATCCCTTCCGATGATTATAGGATGGGGTAACAAAGACTATTGGTACGCAGGCTATAAGCTGGTTGGTTTTGCGGTTTATGGTCAGCGCTCTTTTAGTTATCAAGCACCTGTTTTATGGAATAATCTACCATTTGTACATCTCTATATTCTTTTAAAAAACAACTTAAAACACATTTATTTAATTAGGCTTTTAACTGACTCTGTATACAATCGTTAACATGTCCATAATCTTGTTGTTTATTTATGATTATATTGTCACTGAACATGTTATATGAAAGGGCGCACTATAAATATGTTGTAATAATAATAATAATAATGGTTTTCTGCACCAGCCAGCTAGAATAGAAAATACAAATCTGCTTTAAAGATACCTTCCCACATACAAACTGAGTGATTTCATGATATATTAGGACTATAAACATATTCAAACTAATTAATCTATCAAAATTTTGCTTTAAATCCTTGTATTCGTGAGGGAATACCCCTGCTATAAAAAAATCTATTAAAAGAGGTCATAGAAATTGAGATGAAATATAGAAATATGCTGTATGTGCTGTGTATTAGGATGGGTTCTAGAACATCTGATACCACTAGTGAAAGATGTCATGCTATTGACAGGGATATTCGCGCATATTGGATCGTAACTTCCTGGATTATGGCCCCTGATTATATGAACGTCAACGGCTCTTATTTTTTTAGCTTGTTCTCTGTCCATCTCTTGCAAAATGTGAGCGTATCTTACATTGTAACCACTTGTTATATTATGTAAAACTGTTTCTTGCTTTCAATAAGAAATTGGACATACTGTCTACTCAATGCATAACACGAGACGACTTCTCACATAGTGAACAAATTTCTATTGTGCTTTGTAATGTTTGATTGCATGTATTTTAAAATGATTGTATTAAAAATAAGTTTGCTTTTAGTTACTGATCCTAGCAGGGCTTGTTGTTTCCTGTACTCATAGGCTTACGGGCTCGATAACAGTAAGGGTAGCAGAACTCGAAATGCCCCAAAAAAATTTGGGTGTACAGACAGCGGCGCCGATCTTCCTCGAGAGGCGAAGAAGCGTAGCTCACCTTGTATTGTACACCCGCCCCCCCCCCCCCCGGAAAATTTTTGAATATTTGACGGCTGCAAACACAATTTCCTGCTATTTCAGGTCTAATATAGCCTAATTAAGATGGCTGACTCGAATTCTAATCAAAAGATCAATCGTTTTCAGTCCACGGAGACGGGACCGTTCGGAGAAAATTTTGAAAATTTAACAGCCGCATACTCGTTTTCCGGCTATTCCAGCAACTTCAATTTGGTCCAATATAGCCTACCTGGCTGACCCGAATTCCAAACAACCAATCAATCGTCACAGGGTATGTGGGGGGGGGGGGGCTCTCCCTCCCGGAGAAAATTTTGAAAATCTAACCACCGCAAATTCATTTTCTGCTATTCTAGCCCGTGTAAGCAACTCCAAAAATATCCAATGGTTTTGTAACCGAAATCCCATCCAATCAGACTGTCGCAGCTGCATTTACAAATAATAATCGATGCTCGAAAAATGTCGCACAAAGTAGAGTGGCTCCAGACAATATGTTTTAATCCATAGTCAACTCAGTACAAATTTGTGGTATTCAATTAAAAGAAAAGTAAAATTAGTGTTATATTAGGGCTCGTTGACAGTTAGGGAAGAAAAACTAGAAATGCCCGAAAAAATTTCAGGTTTACAGACAGCAGCACCGGTTTTCTTCGAGAGGTGAAGAAGCAGAACTGACCTTGAATGGACCCCCGAAGAAAATTTTGGAATATTTGACGGCCGCAAACGCGTTTTACTGCTATTCTAGCCCGTAAAATTAGTGTTTTATTAGATTTCGGGCACTTTATTTTGCCAAGTAGATGAAATAAAAAAATTTTTTCACTTTACCCTTCTGCCCGAAAAGTCAGCTTGCCCGAAAGTTAGGGGGGCAGCTGCCGCCCCCCTGGCTCGTACGCCTATGCTTGTACTGTTTATATATGAAATCCATATAGAAATATTGGGATAATACCCCAAAAATATCTTGCAAAATATGTCATAAATTAACTGACTGAAAGCCCTGCTGTTTTGATCATGTGATATTTATAATTAAACCACCAAGTACGTCCCTACTGTATTGTTATACAGTCTGTACGACTGTCTGTCCATTCACATTTTGTTTGTTGACCCTCTACAGGTCACAATTGATCCGATTTTGACGAAACTTGAAATGTAAGTTTATATCCAAAAGATCTTGGTTCCTTTCGATATTGGCATGTATCGGACCCTAACTTCATGGTTATGGCCCCTGATTGTACGAAAAATCAAGTTTTTAGCATGTGGACACTTTAGATGTCCCAATCTTTATCCGATTTTGATGAAACTTAACATGTATGTTTATAACCCAAAGATCTTGGTTCCTTGCAAGTTTAGCTTGTTCTCTGTCCATGACTTGTAAAATGTGGGTGTATCTTGCATGGCAACCGCTTGTTATATTAAGTGTAAGCCCTACTGTATATAGGCTTTATTATTAACCCTGTCCCGAGTTCACAAAGCATTCTTAGAATTAAGTTAAGAATTTACTCAAAATTGTTCACTTTATTTTAACCAAAATATAGCACTTTATAAAACTTTTATTGTTTTAATGTATCAAATACATCAATAAGAAACTATGTGCAAAGTTTTGTGTTTCTGGATCAAAGATATTTCTTATAAACAGTGATTGAAGTTGAGTAAATTCTTAAAGTAAGCTTTAAAATGCTTTGTGAACTTGGGCCCCTACTACTGTATAGTTTGTTATGGTTATTGTACTTTAACTACTCAGTGTATTTTGTTACATTAATAAATCAATATGGAAATCAATTTATTTAAAATTTTTCTCCACAGCACCTGACACATGCAGTTAACGAGGGTTAGAGCTCATTTAGTGCCTACTGTAGGCCTATAGGCTATAATAAACTTGAATATGGCGCTGACTCAGTAACCAGGATGTTTTGGGTTCAATTCCATACTAAACTTATGCTGTCTGTCTACAATTTGCTCTCTTGGGAACAGACTGTCAGCTAGTTGGTTGACATTTTAAGTCCTAAATCAACGATTTTAGTTGAAAACATTAAACATACATTATGCAAGAGCAAAATCGGCCTATTGTAGGTCTTTCTTTAGACCCAAAATGTTATAAAAACTATTAGACATTAATTAGCTTATACAAACCATAATCAACTCTCGATGGTAAGGCTAGCCTGTGATATTTGTTGGATTATAGTTCGAATTGCTGCAAAACTTTCCCTTGTTGATTAACGATTAAATGGATAATCGAGACTATTAGTATTGTCTTACCGACTTCAGTAATGATGATCGAGGCTAAGCGGAACTTTGACTCGCTTAGTTCTCGGTTCATAGTGGATCAATTTGACTGAAATTTTCAGCAAATTGACTTTACAGTATGTAGTTTTTAACTATTATAGTGAGAATTGCCAACTCGTTATCTAATCTCCCATAATGTATCTTTAAGTATGCTTTGAGAATTTTGAGAAGTATTTATTCCATTTAATAAAATTGAAAAGGTTTATCAAGTCTTTTTGAGTATGATAGAAGTGAAACGGAGAACGGCATTACAAAATAGGATACCAAGTTTTGGAAATGGCGGCTATTCAGGGCAGAGAGAGAGAGAGAAATGGGGTTTAAGTCCACTAGACACAAACTAGGTCATTTCGGGACTAACATATGGTTTAATTTTATTTCAATAATTCGCTTGATCGTAGGGGTCTTTAGCAGTGGGAGGAAACTGGAGGACCCGGAAAAAACCCACGAGGTTGGACAGGTGACCCTACTCCTTGTCACGTACATGTACACTATTCAGGTTTGTGGGTATTTTGCTGCCTGGCTACTGTGTATATATTTACATATATCTTGATATCCAATCCAGTTGTTAGTTTATTATGTAGAATACCGGTGCCATGGAAATTCATCTTTCTAAAGAATTGCCTGGACATATCCCCCCCCCCCCTCTACACCCCTAGTCTATAGGCAAAAGACTGACGTTCGTATTTATTTTTTCTGACATATTTATGTTATCGTTATATTTTTACTTGAATGAAAGCAGCCCCTTAGCCAGCCTGTTTGTAATAGACAGCAGTCAGGAATCATCATGGTGGAGTATTGATTTGAGAATGTGGCACCCGGCACCCAGTCTCATATTATTGTTTATGTTCTGACATCTATCTGTCATATATTTTGTTCTGACTTGCCCAATGGCCGACTGTCGTGATCTCCCTGTCTTGTCACTATGTTCATTGTTCAGAGTTTGCCAGAGACCCATTTTTCCCCAAAATTGTGAAATAGTGGCTTTTTTTCGATGAAATTATTATATAGGTAGTTGATATTAGAAATGTTTCCATAACATAAAACCCGAAATATTATTTCTGGTTCACTGGTAACGGTCTTGTTAGTTGTCCAATATTTTCTTCGGGCCCCCGTGTCTCACTCAACCAGCTCGATTGACATGAATTGCGAACTGCAATGGCAATATATCATCGGGCCCGGATTGGCAGTGTGACCACCTTCCCACTGGGCCCCCTCTCTGCAATAGTATTTTCTGCTTAGAAGTAAGTATATGACTTCCCGTCCGGAATATACTCCACCGACCACAATTTCAGGTTGATATTTCAAAATCAAAAAATTTATGGGGGGGGGGGGGGAGGACCCCCGAACCCCTTAAACCTCAAGAGGAGAGACCCCCCCACACACACTGTCATCTTGTCACTGGGGCACGGCGACCTCATGATCTGTCACTGGGGAGGACCCCTGCACCCCCCTTCGTACGGGGGGGAGAGACGTACCTACTCCCCCCCTCCCCCCCCAAAAAAACGTTCACTGCCTCACGGTGGTATCCGCAGTCAACAGGATGGCTACAGGCCTGGAATGAAGCAGATTTTGGATGAAATGCTATTTAATTGATTTTGAAATGACTTTAAACATAATATTATATAGTGTTGTTTCTTGCCTTGTCTATGTGGTTATGTCCGCATTTGTGTTATGGGTTTTGCTCGGCCTGTGGCTGTAGTAGTGCTGTTGTTCGGAACTTAGTGTAAGGGAGATAACTCCATTTAATGACAAGATCAAGTTTCCATCAACACATGGCATGCAGCCTTGACTCGAATACGGGTCAGGTCAACGTCGTTGAGTGAACAGTTACAGTTAGACAACGATGTTGGCAAGTGTTCGGACTGTTTTTACCGTTCGGGTGAGTATTTAAAATTATATAAATGTAAACACTGTATATAAAGCGGTTCCTGGAATTACCGAATGTTCAGTTGGCACTGCCACGTGTCTGGTCTTTTTTTAAAATAGAATTTCTTCACCATTTCCTTCAAGACAAAAAAAATATAAAAATCTAGGTTATAGCCGAGGGTTGTAAATACAATATGTTTGTCAAACAAGTTGTTACATCACCCTGGTCGGCTTCAATTTTTACATACGGTACAATTTAACGTCACTATCAGTCTTTCCCAGTAAGAATGAACGGATAAATTTTATACTTTGTATTGTATGTGTTGGTAGATCTAACGGCAAATTAATTTTACAATTTACATGCAGTACAAAATAAAAATTTTTTTTTTTATATAAATGCTTAGTAAACAATAGTGTTACATATAGTAGGCTAACCAGTTCATCTGTTGCTGACGTCTATAAATTGTGAATGGTGCCACACAAAGGGGCTGTGGGATGGGTATGCCTAGGCCTATGGCACAGTTCCTCCATAAAATATTTGGGCCACGAGAAATTCATTCAGGATTAAAGCTGGTCACAAACAATCAATGAATTTATGGTAAATATCAATTTTACTGAACACCTCTAGTTTATAAATTCCAACAAAAATTTTCATCTGGTTGGTTGTCGTTTGTGAGCAGCTTCATCAGGAGACACAGTGTCTGATTGAGTAAGAAGTTGACTCGCTAACCTGGAGGTCCTAGTGTTCATTCCCAGCGTTGGCCATGGTTCCTCCTTGTTAGTAGTGCAGTAGGCCTCAATAAGTAGTCATTCGGATGGGCAAAAAAAAAATGAGTTCCTGTGTACACATGCATATAAAAGAGCCCTTGGCCGTTTGAATTTGATAAGAGAAAGCTGTTATAGCGCCGCTGCCCGTGCAAAATTTCCCTCATGGCACACTGTACGACGTAAGCCCGTCTTCATTAGCCCAGTTGGAGCAGAACAGTAGGACGTTAAACCCCATTTTATTCATTTCATTTATATGAACGACTAGATGTACAGCTGTCCTTGTCAGGTCCTGCGTCCAGCACCACTGACAAGGGGGATCACGCGGAAAAATCTGGATGAACTTTCTCTGCCAATGCAGGCATCGAACAGAACATCCAACTTCCAGGCTAGCCAGCCAGCGTCTTACCCACTGATCCCCATTTCATTTATAGACCGAATTAAAGTTTGATTCATTAAGCATATTTTTCTACTGAAAACAGATTACCAGTAATCTGAAAAAAACTGGATAAAATTTACTAAAACAGATGTGCACAAAAATTAATAATAAAATTGCTAAAGATAATGAGTAATTTCTTTTACACCAACATTTACACTGGACATTTTTTTTTTTGTCCCATGATGACTAGATGCTTTCCTTGCCAGGGCGTTTGTCCTTGTATAAGAATACGTAGGTACGTACCTGCTCGGCCAACACACAGTATCGAACCACGGACCTCCTGGATACCATTTAATCACTGAGCCACATGGCTCCTCGACTCAATACAATACAACAAAGTACTTAAACATACATCATGTAAATTATACAAGAAGTAAATCTGCCTATTGCGGGTCTTTCTCAGTCGTTGTTGTTTGTATTTTAGAGGAGAGCCAAAAAAAGCTTCCCTTAATGAACAAATTGAAAAAATCGCTCCCCGAAAAAAGCTCTCCCAGTTTCGATAAGAAGAGTGATTTAGAAATTAAGGAGAATGATCTGATATTAAGGAGAGTGATTTGTTGTGTGTATGGGAAATGGTTCCGAAGATCAATAACTGCATGTTATTGTTAGAGGGTCATTCCTGGTTTCATAAATGATAATAAACCCCCCATGACTTTGTAAAGGAGAGCGATTTTCAATTTTAAGGAAATGGAGAAAAAGCTCCCCTCGGTCGGAGCAGCAGGCGCTTGAGACTGATAGCTTGCCTTAAAAAACAATGACTGCTTTCTTTAGGCCTTAAATCTTATGTAAACTATTAATTAGACATTAATTAACTTATCAAGACCATAATCAACTCTCGATGGCATCATATACTCCAGATTTTCAACAGATTTAAATCCGATCTGCGGTTCAACGGTCATTAATGATTAACTGTAAAAATTGATAGTCGAGACATTGGTTAATATCGTAACAACGAGAGTGAAGTAATTTGAACTAAAAGTTTCAACATATTCTGTTTTCATTGTTTATTTTTTAAATACATTGTATTATAATTATAGAGTGAGAACTGTCAGCTCTTTATCTAATCTTATCTAATCTCCCTTTGAAGATGCCTTAGGTGTTTGTGAGATTTAGATAATGAAAAATGGGTACATCAAAAATTTTATTCAATTCTTCATTCTGAACATAGTTACGACTATTTAAAGATGTAGCCTAGATTGCTTATTGTCGTAGCAACGGTACTTGACAATCGAGACTAAGTCTCGATCATCCATACATGTATTAAAAATCTCACGGGTGCTCAAATTCATTTGAATTTCGGCCTGTTGATAATAGAGTTGATTGTAGGCTTGCCATATAAATGTCTAAATATTAATAATTTATATTTTAAGCCAGAATAAACACGTGTAATAGGCAGATAGATATGGCTCTTATATAATTTATGTTTAATGCTGTTCACAATAATTTATTCTATTTTTCTGTTTTACATGTTAATTGAATGATATATATCAAAATGTAAATTACATTGTTGTTGTCAACTATAATTAAGATGATATATGGAGATATAGAGTGAATACGTAAACTATTACATGGTAAATTATTAACATGTATGTTAAAGCCAAGGGGGTATAGATAAATATACATATATTCTTGGGAACTTTAATATGGACGAAAATGGTTCTAAAATGAAATGAAATGAAATTGGATTTAACGTCCTACCTTTCTGCTCTTACTGGGCTAATAAAGACGGACATATGCCATACAGTATGCTATGAGGGAAATTTTTGCCTGGTCAGTGGCACTAAGTCCTACTCTTATATCGTAATTCCAACTGCCAAGGGATCTTTTACGTGCATGCCAATATGTACACGGGACCTCGGTTTTTCATCCCATCCAAACGACTAGACAGCTGTCCTTGTCAGTCCCTCCATCCTGCACCACTGACAAGGGGAAACCACGACGGAAAATCCTGATGAACTTTCTCTGCCAATGTAGGGGTCGAACAACCGACCTCCAGGCTAGCGATCCAGCATCTTACCCACTTAGCCACCATTGCTTGCAGAAAATGGGTCTAGAATCACATATTAATGTACGGTAATATGAAAGTATATAAAGTGATTTGTATTCACTGTTTAAAACAAATATTGTAATGTCTAAACAATTATGTTCTGTGAAATACGTGAACAGTCCAAATTGAACGACAGTCGTTTACGCCTACTTAGTCCATTCTACGTTTTTTTTTATTACTATTATTATTTTAGACGTTAAAGCCACAAGACTGTGTAACTGTGTAAAACATTCTAACAAGTTAAACTGCTTTTATTTCAGGGTTCATCCCGTTTGGTGGAGATTTTAAAGTGTCAAAGTTTGTGGACTGGTAATGAACCGTTATCTGAAAGTGATCCGGAGTTGATGGGAATTGTATCAAAAGAAAAACATCGACAAACATATGGATTGGAACTGATAGCCTCAGAGGTAATTATATCCAGGCCTGCAAATAACGGTTTTAGATGTACCCGACAAAATGTCAAGCACTAACGAAATAGTAGTTGACATTTTCAACTTAGTGCCGGACATGTATTATTAATATCAATAAAAAAGACAAATCAGTGCCGTACAAAATGACAGGTACCAGAGGTTTAGTACCGGACAAAGCCTGAATCTGTGCCTGACATTGTCTGTGACAGGTGGCTTATTTCAAGACTTGATTATATCATTCAAAAACAGAGAGAAATGGGGGGTTTAACAGCCACTCAGTATAATTTGGTACTAACATATGGTTCAATTTTATTTCAATAACTCGCTGGTGAATATGGGTCTTTAGCTGTGGGAGGAAACCGGACAAAAACCCGCAAAGTTGGACATGTAGAAACAGGAAATCGAAACCACGCTACGTGACTCAATGACATCTTCTAATCCAACACACATGTCCGTTACTAGAATATATGTACGTCCGCCATAACTTCTAATTTACTGGGTTACAAGAATCCAAATGTAGTATTAGTACCCTTTCTTACCAGAATTAAAACTTTTAAATTCCACAGGACAATTCACAGAGTTTTGTAACTATGTTCATGCAGGTGAATCATGGTGTTTATTTCTGTACGTCAGTTACCTGTACTTTGAGGAGCCAATACTTATTTGAGGTGTTCGTGAACATTTAAAATCATATGTCAGTTGGTTGATACGTAAAACATGTCTTTAATTCTATATAAAACCAAAATAGTTAATTATTCATGGTTAGATGGGGATCACGTGGCTAAGTGGGTAAGACACTGGCTCGCTAGCCTGGAGGTCGGGTGTTCGATCCCTGCATTGGCCGAGAAAGTTCATCCAGATTTTCCGGCGTGGTTCCCCCTTGTCAGTGATGCAGGACGGAGGGCCGGACAAGGCAGCTGTCTAGTCCTTCGGATGAGACAAAAAAACGAGGTCCCGTGTATACATTGGAATGCACGTAAAAGATCCCTCGGCAGTTGGAATTCGATATAAGAGTAGGCGATAGTGCCGCTGCCCGGGCAAAATTTCCCTCATAGCACACTGTATGGCGTATGCCCGTCTTCATTAGCCCAGTTCGGAGCAGAACAGTAGGATGTTAAACGCCTTTCATTTCATTTCATTTCATGGTTAGATAATATTAGAAGTAGACCTAATAAAAATTCTATATAAAGCCCAAACTGTTAATTATTCATGGTTAGATAATAATATAACAAGTTTAAATGTACGTCTGTTACCATGGAATTACGTCATATTTTATGACTGAAATGATACAATATATCTTTAACAGACATCAACTGCACTTCTCTTGTCGTAAGATATATTACACAAGTTTTTTACAGAAATGTATATTTTTTATTGACCTACATGTACATGTAATTCTACTGACCTACATGTATATAGTTTGACCTTTATACACTGGTAGATAAATGTCTTAAAGTCTTGTATATCATTTGTGTGACATATTTATTATATATCATGACATACATGAAGATCTTATGTAAAGTTGAGTTCAAGGTTGACTCTTTTGAAGAGGAAAAATATTTTTTTACGAGAACTGGTAAAAATCTCCATATATAGAGCTCTAGAGGTAGACGTAGAGAATTGGGTTTTAACATCCACTCGACTTAAACTAGGTCATTTTGAGACTAACAGATGGTTCAGTTGTATTTCAATAATTCGCTTGAAATATACGTAGAGAGAGGAATGGGGTTTAACATCCACTGGATCAATTTTTATTTAAATAACTCGCTAGAGCGTGGGAGTCTTTAGCAGAGGGAGGAAATCAAAGAACTCATAGAAAACCCACAAGTTTGGACAAGCGACTCTACAACTTGTCACATACAAGCGGGAAATAGAAACCCTTACACTTGCCTCAATGACAGACCTTATGATCTAACACATTAAACCACCCAACCCCCTGTCTATATAACTGATCTATCTATGAATACCTTACACGTAAAATGAAAACTGAAAAGAAATGGGGTTTAGCTTCCTACTTTTCTGCTCCAACTGGGTTAATGAACAAGTCCATATGACATGCAGTCTACTATGAGTGAAATTTTGCCATCACAGCGGCCCTACAACCTGCTCTTATATCGAATTCCAACTGACATAACTTCTTTTACATGCACCCCAATATGTACACTGTATTTCGTCCAATCCAAACGACTATATAAGTTTTCCCATGCTGCACCAGTGACAAGAGGGAACCACGCCAGAACACTTCTTGTGGCCAAATACAGCATGTGGCCAAATAACGACTTTTTAAAATGGGTTTAAATTATTTCATAAAAAGTTCTGAAAGAAAAAACTTACATGTTTGAACTAGAAATTCTAGCATGGTTAAATGGACTAAAAATTCGAAACAGAATGTGTGTAGGCTTTCTCCTAAACAGGTCGTAACCCAGCTTTTCAGGCCAAAGTTCCCTCATAGCACACTGCATAGCTTGGGCCATTAGCCGAGATGGAGCAAATAAAGTACATGTAGATTATGAGTGCATTCAGGATTAATGTTTTTAATTGCATGACAAAAATAGTTTGATAAAAAAACGACATAACGAGATGATAGATAGATGTTAATTCTACAGCAAATATTATTTTTGGCAAAATCCCATGTAACTGTTGTTGTAAGCAGTTATTCAGGTTAAATGAACTGAAATAAATGAAATGCCATGATGTTTATGGTCCTATTTGTACTGACTTGGATAATGAAGGCTGGCATACAGTGACAATATATCTGAACAATTAGCTAGATCTTGTTCTCCTCCGGTCTGAGAAAGTTCAGCAGGATTTTCCGACATGGTTTCCCCTTGTCAGTGGTGTAGGACGGAGGGCCTGACAAGGACAGCTGTCTAGACGTTGGGATAGGAAGAAAAAACGAGGTCCCATGTATACATTGGCGTGCACGTAAAAGAACCCTTGGCATTTAGTATTCGATTTAAGAGTAGGCTGTAGCGCTGCTGACTGGGCAGAATTTCCCTCACAGTACATTGTATGGCGTATGCCTGTCTTCATTAGCCCAATTGAAGCCGAATAGTAGAATGTTCTCCTCGGGCCTGCACCACTGACAAGGGACAACCATGCCCCAGGCTATTGCTTGATGGACAATGTGTGAGAGAGAGAGAGACAGACAGACAGACAGACAGACAGAGATTCAATGACCTAAAGTATACAGGTCACAATTCTATGGAATACATACATGTATACTGCTTTTTACTGAGCGACGTTTCGACTAGGCTTCTCTAGTCATTATCAAGCTATGATAAAAAATGAAAATATGACAGGACAATAAATACATGTACACAACAATGCTTAGTTAATGCTGGCAAAACCAGGGATCTCCCTTAATTACATGTACCTAAAGGTAATCTAATTTTATTAAACGCTAATAAGCAATAATACAAATTAACCTAAAAATTGACTAATTGATTATGGATAAGTTGTTGTGGAGTATACACAATGATTAGTGGGTTTTAATAATGACAAATGTTGAAAGAAAATGAAATCCTGCCTTTCTTCATCACTATAACATCCAGTGTAAGTACTACTCAATATTTTAAATTGTCAGCCTTCAGGGGACTATTGATCATTTGTGCAGCCAATGTTCTAAGGGTTTTTCGTATATCAGTAGAATCACTCGCATCAACATGCACATATCAATTATTTTTGTCATAATACCAATCAAATCTCATCTTCTTGGGATGTTGTCATTATTAAAACCTCATCAAATCGTTGTAAATACTCAACAACAAACTATTCATTTATCATTTGTATTTATTTCAGTGAAAGGGGTAGTTCATAACATTTCATCAAATTTCATTTTCTTTCAATGTTTGTCATTATTAAAACCCATTAGATTACCTTTAGGTACACGTAATTAAGGGAGATCCCTGGTTTTGCCAGCATTAACTAAGCATTGTTGTGTACATGTATATATTGTCCTGTCATATTTTCATTTTTTATCATAGCTTGATAACGACTAGAGAAGCCTAGTCGAAACGTCGCTCAGTAAAAAGCAGTAATTGTATTCCATAGAATTGTGACCTGTATACTCTAGTTCAATTACTAAATGCCATTGAAACAGTTCAATGACCTAAAGTGGACACGTTAGACCATTCAACCACCCAACTAGAGAAAATAATACATTCAGTTCAAGAGAATCATATCTTGTTTAAACTGTTTTTTAAATTGTATTTTTTTCCAGAATTTTGCTAGTCGAGCTGTATTGGAAGCCCTTGGATCATGTTTAACAAATAAATATTCCGAAGGCTATCCTGGTGCCAGGTAAGATTACCAATAAATTATTAAATTGTTATCATGGCTCAGATAAATCAACGTTTGAAACTATATATGGTCTGACTGAATGATAGGGTTTATATTAGTAAGTTGCCTCTATTAACCAGACCCTAGGCCTGAAGTTTGAACAAATATATGGCCTTGATAATCTGCATGCCTGGAAACACGGCACCTGTCTCAGATGACATATTTATATACTAATATTTGTGACTGTCGTTTGTCTGTCTGTTCAGGGTTGGCGGCTATACTAGGGCTGTTCCGGGTTTGAAATTACGTGTATGGGGGTAGCTCGGACCAGGGAATACCATGGCCCAGATGGAGTTGGACTACTGCTTCTCGTTTCGGAATTATACTACTTTCAACCTATGCAGCGCTGGGTTATCTGCTAGTGCACTATGTGATAATTTTTGTCTAACAAGGTCTGTGAGAGGTGCCTTTTGTCCATCCTTGTATAATTTCCTATTGACATATACGCTTGTATATATACGTTGTGATAATCTGTAGTTGACAGTGTCTGTGACATGTGCCATATGTCCAGGCCTGTATTAATGTTATGTGATTATCTGTACTAGATTATTTGTGAAATCTGCCGTATGTCCAGGCTTGATAAGAGGGTTTACAGGTGTCAAATAATTAGTGCTTACCTTTCATAATCTCAGACACACTGAGTCAGACACATATTCACAATAAGGATAGAAAAACCTACAAATACCACGACATTGACAGTTTGCATGGTTGGCTTCTATCTCCATGGTAAATTTGAATATCAGTCAAAAATGGTTTATTTCTATTCCGTAATTACAAGTACAGTATCTTTCTACGTATTGTCTCGCTCTCAATCATTAAACCATTGATTTTAAATAGTTTATTTCCATTCCGTAATTACAAGAGCAGTATCTTTCTATTACGTAATGTCTCGCTCTCAACTATTAAACCATTGATTTCAAATAGTTTATTTCCATTCCGTAATTACAAGTACAGTATCTTTCTATTGTCTCGCTCACAATCATTAAACCATTGATTTCAAATAGTTTATTTCCATTCCGTAATTACAAGAGCAATATCTTTCTATTACGTAATGTCTCGCTCTCAGCCATTAAACCATTGATTTTAAATTTTAAACTTCAGATATTACGGAGGTAATGAATTTATTGATGAAGTTGAAAGATTATGTCAGAAGAGAGCGTTGGAAACGTTTCGTCTTGATCCAGAGAAATGGGGTGTAAATGTTCAACCGTATTCGGGTAGTCCGGCTAATTTTGCTGTTTTTACTGGTTTATTAAACCCTCATGACCGTATTATGGGTCTAGATTTACCAGATGGAGGACAGTAAGTAGTCAATAATAATAGATTTACCTGACAGGGGGGGGTGGGGGGTCTAGTGGATTTAATGGATGGAGGACAATAAGTAGTAAACAGTCCTTTGACAGGGGGTTTGGGATCTAGTGGTTTAACACATGACCGTCTCATGGGTCTAGATTTACGAGATGGAGGATAGTAAGTAGTCAACAGTCCTCTTCAGTTCTTATAGCTTTCTTATTTTAACAGGGGGTTGGGGGTTCAGTGGATTTACCTGATCGAGAGAGGGGGAGAGAGAAATGGGGTTTAATATCCACTCGACACAAACTAGGTCATTTTGGGTCTAACATATGGTTTAATTTTATTTCAATAATTCACTTGCTCGTAGAAAACCCCCAAGGTTGGACAGGCGACCCTACTCCTTGTCACATACAACTGGGGATTCAAAACCACGCCAGTTGACTCAATGACAGGCCTTATGATACAGTGCGCACATGCTAACCATTGAGCCATCCAACCCCCCCCCCCCCCTTTACCTGATGGAGGACAGTAAGTAGACAATTGGGGGATGGTAATTATTCAAGAGTTATTTTTAGATACATTTCATTATATTTTATATTGCACGTGTCTTACATTTGTTCGCAATTCCTCCATCATACTACACACGGAACCTTGTTTACTGTGATGGGAGATGGATGGTTGAAAGGCAAGTCACCCAAACACCGCCATTTTAGGTTACGTGGAGGAGATTATATTATCCGACTACTACTTTGTAAGATGAGTCACAACCCCGTAACGAGGGGGAGGGGAAATGGTTAGCGCTGTATCATAAGGTCTGTCACTGAGTCAACTGGTTTCGAATCCCCAGTTGTACGTGACAAGAAGTAGGGTCACCTATCCAACCTCATGTTTTTTCTCAATTTCCTCCGGTGTCCCCTCACTACTAAAGACCCCTTCGTGCAAGCAAATTATTGGAATAAAATTTAACTGCATGTTAGTCATAAAACGACCTAGTTTGTGTCGAGTGGACATCAAACCCCATTTCTCTCTCTCTCTCTCTCCCTCTCTCTCTTATGGACGGGATTGGAAGCCGGAGGGGCTCAGTGAGTAAGATCTTGTCCGACTAACCAGGAGGCCGGGGAAGTTCCGCAGGATTTTCCAGTATGGTTTCCCCCCCTTGTCAATGGTACAGGATGGAGTGCTAATATGGACCAGTGTCTAGTCCTTCAGATGAAAAATTAAAACATACTCAATGATTACCTGGATACAGGAAGTATATCTATAAATAAAATTTGAATGACTCCATAGTCTCATTAATCAACTACACAACCCTGATAAGTGTTATTGACAAGCATAAATTTATGATACTGGATAATCATACATTTAGGCACATTTATCAAGTACACAAACCTGATAAATGTTAATGACAATCATAAATAATACTGGATAATCAAGCATTTAGGCTCATTTATCAAGTACACAATCCTATGATACTGGATAATCATACATTCCTATAAACAAACAATTTGATGTGTATACACAAAAAAAAACACAAAAATAAAAACCCTCCTCCCACATCAGATGTTAGGTTAGGATTGTATGACAACCAGAAATATTTATCTTTTGTTTGGTCTAATGGTATCACTGTAACATGGTTATCTATTAATCTTGTATATTTACCATTAATTTCTAAATTACATGATTTTTGGTGATTTTAAACAGTTTTTACGAAGATTTGATATTAAACGAATGTAAAAGAAATTAATGCTAGATACACAAGATTAAATGATACCCGGGTTACAGTGTATTTTTCTATGTTTTAGTCTAACGCATGGTTTTATGACAGATACTAAAAGAGTATCGGCTACATCTATATATTTTGAATCCATGCCGTATAGAATAAACGTAAGTTGGTTATTATTACCTTCTGTTTGTGTGTGAGGTCAGGGGTCATGTAGGTGAGGTCAGGGGTCATATAGGTGAGGTCAGGGGTCATATAGGTGAGGTCAGGGGTCATATAGGTGAACGTTGATAGAATGACGTTTCATTTTGTTGCCTATTGCACTATAGATGTTTCCCATAATTCTGTGAACACTTCGCATAAAGCTTGGCAAAAACTGCCATTTCATTGGCTAATGTGGTATATTTAAACAGTTTTCCGGTGTTTATTTTTCTATTATCAAATATACTTACTGTCTCATATCACGTTTCATTAATTACACATCAATAAACAACTAACAGCTCGCGTCCCTTACAACGGATGTTCTCTTCTCACATGCCTATCACAATCAACCGGAAACAGAAGTTCATTATCAAATGTGGGGGAGGGGGGGTGATGGCTGAATGGTTAGCACACGCGTGCTGTATCATAAGGCCTGCCATTGAGTCAAGTGGTGTGGTTTCGAATCCCCAGTTGTACGTGACAGAGAGTAGGGTCGTCTGTCCAACCTTGTGGATGTTCTCCGGGTCCTCCGGTTTCCTCCCACTGCTAAAGACCCCTATGTGCAAGCGAATTATTGATGTGTAATTGAACCAAATGTTAGTCCCGAAATGACCTAGTTTGTGTCGAAACTATTATGAAATGTCAACACCAGATCCCACTGTCTAAGCCAAATGATATTTGAACTTTAAAAAAAAAGAAGTGAAATAGGATCTGTGTTTTAATCAAACTGCTTCTGTGTCCATCAAAATATTCAACAAGGAAATGAAATGAAATGAAATTGGGTTTAACGTCCTACTGTTCTGCTCCTAACCTGGGCTAATGAAGACGGGCATACGCCATGCTACGAGGGAAATTTTGCCCGGGCAGCGGCGCTACGGCCTACTCTTATATCAAATTCAAACTGCCAAGGGATCTTTTACGTGCACGCCAGTGTGTACACGGGACCTCGGTTTTTCGTTCCATCCGAACGACTAGACAGCTTGTCAGGCCCTCCATCCTGCATCACTGACAAGGGGGAACCACGCCGGAAAATCTGAATGAACTTTCTCGGCCAATGCAGGGATCGAACACTCGGCCTCCAGGCTAGCGTAGCGAGCCAGCGTCTTAGCCACGTGATCCCCGTATTCAACAAGGATTCGATCATGTTTATTGTTATTTCTCCAGCGTGATTCCCCCATGTCAGTGGTGCAGGATGAAGTGCCTGGCAAAGACAATGTTTAGTCGTTCAAATGGGGTGAAAAACTGAGGTCCTGCATACCATTTACATGCATGTAAAAGAACCCTTGGCAGTTGGAATTCAATGTAAGAGTGGGCTGTAGCCCAGTTGGAGCATAACAGTAGGACGTCAAACCCAATTTCTTTTCATTTATAACTATTATTGAATCGACTATTCTTGAAATTGACACTAGCTACTGTTAATTACTCTTTCATGCATCTGAGAATTTTTATATGATATTCGGGGGTCATGGTGGGTAAGACACTGGCTCGCTAGCCTGTAGGTCAGGTGTTCGATCCCTGCATTTGCCGAGAAAGTTCATCCAGATTTTCCGGCATGGTTCCCCCTTGTCAGTGATGCAGGAGGGAGGGCCTGACAAGAACAGCTGTCTAGTCATTCGGATGAGACGAAAAACCGAGGTCCCGTGTACACATTCGCGTGCAAGTAAAAGACCCCTTGACAGTTGGAATTTGATATAAGAGTAGGCAGTAGTGCCACTGTCCGGGCAAAATTTCCCTCATAGCACACTGTATGGTGTATGTCCGTCTTCATTAGCCCAGTTCAGAGCAAAACAGTAGGACATTAAACCCCATTTTATTTGATTTCATTTTTATATGATATAAGAATTATTTTTATGGATGATCCATACTGATGTATTATATGTATTTTATTTTACAGCCAGTGAGTGGATATATTGACACTAGCTTCTATTAATTACTCTTTGATGTATCTGAGAATTTTTATATGATATAAGAATTATTTTTATGGATGATCGATACTGATGTATTTTATATTTTATATTTTTACAGCCAGTAAGTGGCTATATAGATTATGATAAACTCCGTGAAACATCGAGATTATTCCGACCTAAATTAATTATAGCCGGTACGACAGCTTATTCTAGATTATTAGAATACGAGACTTTTAGACAGGTGAGTTATTACTGGAATCGATATACAGGTTTGATCCGTAGAGAGAGTGAGAAGCAAAGTCTTCAACATTGAAAACACAAATTATTTGTCAATTTAAATCAACATTGATGTTGTGGTCTTATCGGGAAAAGATGGGCTTCTGATATTCAATATTTAAGACAAAATAAACATTTTACCACTGGTACACGAAGCGACTTAAAGAACAAGGTTAGACATATTCCACAAGTCGTGTCAAACGCACTGATCTATATATATATGTATGGATCAGTGGTCAAACGGTGACGTCATATTCTTATCTGGAGAGCATGTGCAATAAATACTATCTGGGCTTCTGGCGTATTTCGGCCAACATAACTGATTAGAAATTACAGTAAAAACAGAAAAGATTGAATGTAAATCAGTTTATATACATTCATATTATAATTATTATATACGTTGGGACCCATTTGTGTCAATTTCTAGGTCCTAAATATTAGCGATTTAGCTCCTTTAAGTATTAACACTGTAACCTAGATATCATTTAATCTAGCACTAATTTCTTTCACATTCATTCAATATCAAATCTTTGTTTAAAACTTCGTGAATTAAATACTTGTAAATTGAACACGCATTATCAAAATTAATCAGTCAGCTTTAAACCTGACACAAGTACAAATTAAACTATTTATGGTGATTTTGAACAGTTTTTACAAATTTTTAAACAAAGCTTTGATATTAAACGAATGTGAAAGAAATTAGTGCTATATACACAAGATTAAATGATACCCTGGTTACAGTGTAATATATACGTTTTGTTTACTTATGTTTTAAAGTTTAAATGAAATACGATATATATTTTTTATTTATAACAGATCTGTGATGATAGTAAAGCTGTGATGTTAGCGGACATGTCTCATATATCTGGTCTAGTAGCAGCTGATGTAATACCTAGTCCATTTGATTACGCTGATGTCGTCTCTTCTACAACACATAAAACTCTACGGGGACCAAGGTAGGGATAAATACATCACGATTAGTATCATAAAACGTGGACCAAGTTAGGGATAAATACATCACGATTAGTATCATAAAACGTGGACCAAGTTAGGGATAAATACATCACGATTAGTATCATAAAACGTGGACCAAGTTAGGGATAAATACATCACGATTAGTATCATAAAACGTGGACCAAGGTAGGGATAAATACATCACGATTAGTATCATAAAACGTGGACCAAGTTAGGCATAAATACATCGATTAGGGATAAATACATCACGAATAGTACGTTAAAACGTGGACCAAGGTAGGGATAAATACATTCTGTCTCATACATCATAAAACCTGGACAAAGGTAATACATTTTGGCGATATTTCTCGTATTTTCCAATCAAGCGATTTAGTATCATAGAACTACATGGACTAGGTATAAATTATCTAACGTTAGCTGATAATTCTGATATATCAGGATTAATTCCATAAAACTCTACGTAGACATTCTCTGTACTCAAGTGATCCTTTGTTGAAACAATTTTTAGTTATTGGACGATTGGTGAACATAACAGTCCTTTTTATTGGAGGATTTGTTTTTGTTACCCAATCCACATTTATTTAAGAAATAAATACATGAGAAATTTTAAATTTATGTTCCATCTAGCGTTGGAATTATATTTTATTGTAAGGGAATTATATTTTATTGTAAGGGAATTATATTTTATCCTAAGGGAATTATATTTTATATTTATCTAGAGCTGGAATTATATTTTATCGTAAGGGAATTATATTTTATATTTTATTTAGAGCTGGAATTGTATTTTATAATAAGGGAATTATATTTTATTTAGAGCTGGAATTATATTTTATTTAGAGCTGGAATTATATTTTATTTAGAGCTGGAATTATATTTTATCCTAAGGGAATTATATTTTATATTTTATCTAGAGCTGGAATTATATTTTATCGTAAAGGAATTAAATCTGTTCATCCTAAAACCGGTGCTAAAATAGAATACGATTTTGAGAAGAAGATAAATAATGCCATCTTTCCCGCTCTACAAGGTGGACCTCATGAACATCAGATCGCAGGAGTAGCTACAGCATTGTTGGAGGTAAATATAACACATTGAATCGGAGAAATGTTTTATTGCAAAATATTTACACCATAATTAGGACAATTTATAAAAATTATGAACTGTCTGCCTTGGTTTTTACAACCAATCAACACTAAATATCTCCTTTTGGGACTCATGGTAATTTTTATTTCAATAATTTTCTAGCATTTACGGGTGGGAGGATACAGGAAAACCCAGAGAAAACCCACAAGGTTAGACAGGACAGGCAAACTTAGAGAAATGGAGTTTAATGTCTATTCAACATATGGTTCTTTGGCCTAATATGCATGTTTTTTGTCCCATCCATACTACACATGCTTTGCTTACCAGTCCATTCATCCTGCACAAACATTTCTAGTTGGGCTTGAGGTTAGATAGAAACTGTCAATATGGTTAAAGGGATATAACTCTAGCGATCAATGTAGTCAGACCACTAATGATAATTTTACAATTCTGGCTGCAAATAAAGTTTTAATTCTAGTTTAATTCATGGTGATTGTTTGTTGTTTTACAGGCACAGCTACCAGAATATCGTCAATATCAACTACAAGTTTTAAAGAACGCTAAAGCTTTATCAGACGCTTTAGTTAAACATGATTATAAAGTTGTCTCAGGTAGGATTATCTTTATCTCACCTGTCGGGTGAATGGATTAACGAGTGTGTGTTGGACAACCTGATTAAAACACAGATCCTATTTCGTTTCATTTTTATAGTTCAAAATTTTGTTTTACTTGTCTTTACTACACTTGGATCTGGAAGAGCTGTTATATAACTCGTGTTCTGAATGGGGTCAGGGATAAGCCAATGAAACGGTCTGTTACGGCGAGCTTTAGGCATGTTTTTCTCGGAACTGTGGGTAATCCACTAGTAACATCAATGCTGATTGGTTAATCAAGTGTCTGACGTCATAGGGTCATAAGTCGGTCTTTTGACCCCTGACGTGACCTATCCAGTGCCGGACTGGGCCCACCTGTCCACCTGTCCGTGACAGGTGGGCCTAAGCTCATTAAAAAAAAGCTTATAAAGAAAAAAGAAAAAAGAGAAATGAAATAAGAAAAAAAAAAAAGAAAGAAGAAAGGCGATGACAATAGGACAGGACACAGAACAGGAGAAAGAAAAGATAGGAAGCTTTGGTCTGAAATGCTTGGAAAATGGGTTTGCAGTTGTCAATTTTTAAAATTTTCCTGAGGGGAGGGGGCCCCAGACCCTCCACGGATGCTAATGCGCCTTCGGCTTGCTAGTGACGCGCCTTCATTACGTACATGCGTCGGCCGTGGTCAATGACCTGACAGGTGGGTCTTTGGCCTACCAGTCCGGCTCTGGACCTATCGCTAAAACTTGTCAGATCTTCATGTAGTGTAAGGCCATCGAAAGTATAAAAAAACGAAACGAAATATAGATCTGTATTTTAATCAGATTGTGTGTTGGATCATAAGGTCTGTTGTGTTGTGTTTTCAATTTCCTGCTTGAACCATGTTAGTCCCGAAATGACCTAGTTTGTGTCGAGTGGACATTAAACCCCATTTCTCTTTATCTCACCTGTTTAATGGCCATATCGACACTGCTGATGGATTTTGAATTGGGTCCCTTCTGTTTGTCTGTCCCAAATTGTTCCATTTAAACAATTCAAGATATCATAATTAAACTTGGTCCTCAAACTACTACTTGTGTCTTTTGGTCTTTTGATAATTCAAAATTTCTTTGTTTATGCAGGCCCTTCTAACCCAGAAACAGGCCCTGGGGACCCCATTGTGGCTTCACTGCTTTGACAGCCCGACCCCCTCCATTTGAATTTTATTATGACAGGTGTATCCATGGAAACTGATTGTTGTTGTTTATTTTGTAGGAGGAACAGATAATCATTTAGTCTTAGTTGATTTACGATCTAAAGGAACAGATGGAGCTCGTGTTGAGAGAATATTGGAACTGTGTAATATTACAGTTAATAAAAACACGTGTGCTGGTGATAAAAGTGCCATGACCCCTGGTGGGCTCAGATTAGGTAAGTAGGCCTATATATATCTAGGTTAGGGTTCCCCCTTGTCAGTGATGCAGGATTCAGGGCCTGACAAGGACAGCTGTCTAGTCGTTCGGATGGGACGAAAAACCAAGGTCCCCGTGTACACATTGTCGTACACGTAAAAGATCCCATGACAGTTGGAATTTGATATAAGAGTAGGCCGTAGTGCCGCGGTCTGGACAAAATTTCCCTCATAGCACACTGTATGGTGTATGCCCGTCTTCATTAGCCCAGTTCGGAGCAGAACAGTAGGACGTTAAACCCCATTTCATTTATCTACGTTAGCACAATATGGAAAAATCATTATTTCTGACAAGCTCTTGAGCGAAAAATTACTTTAAAATGGTACATCATAAGTATGTTTACAGCAATATGGAATATCGTTATTTCTGACAAGCTCCCAGATGAGTGAATAAATATTTTAAGATGTTATTAAACCAGTGTTGAAACCAGCTTGAGTTGGAGTACCTTTCAACTTTATTGCTTCTTTATAGTTGTGCTAATACATTTAGACCCTGCTATACCATATGGTAAGGTCATAGGTCATCATCTGACCCTGCTATACCATATGGTAAGGTCATAGGTCATCATCTGATATCAGATATATATATATACCATATGGTGATTACGTAGGTCAATGGTCAGTTAGATTAAATGAAATGGGTGGGGGGGGTAATGTAATATCCTATCTTTTTTTTTCACCAACCAAGGTAATGAAGACAGACATGTGCTATGAGGGAAATTTTTGCCCGGAAAGCAGAGTTTCTGTCTGTTCTTTGTTGATTTCCAACTGCCAAGGGTTCTTTTATTTGTACATGGGAGGATCAGGTTCTTCCATGGCCTCCCATCCTGTAACTCTAACAAGGGAAGGGGAGTCATGGTGGCTAAATGGGTAAGACGCTGGCTAGCTAGCCTGGAAGTAGGGTGTCCAATCCCTGCATTGGCCGAGAAAGTTCATCCAGATTTTCCGGCGTGGTTCCCCCTTGTCAGTGATGCAGGACGGAGGGTCTGACAAGGACAGCTGTCTAGTCGTTCCGGTGTGATGAAAAACCGAGGTCCCGTGTACACATTGGCGTGCACGTAAAAGATCCCTTGGCAGTTGGAATTTAATATAAGAGTAGGTTGTAGCTCTGCTGCCCGGGCAAAATTTCCCTCATAGCACACTGTATGGCGTATACCCGGCTTAATTATCCCAGTATAGGAGCAGAACAGTAGGACGTTAAACCCCATTTCATTTCATTTCTAACAGGGGAAATGAGTTTCTTTCTCATTCAATACAAGGATCAAACCCCAGACCTTGAGGTTAGAGAACCAACGACCTGCTGATGTTCTCATTCTATGTATATAATTGACTTACCTATAACCTACTGTAATTAATTAACAGGTGCTCCTGCTTTATCCTCTAGAGGAATGAATGAAGAAGATTTTTATAAAGTTGTACAACTTTTAGATAAAGGTGTTAAAATTGGTCTTCAAGCACAAAAATCTACCAGTAAGTAACAATATATACAGAGTAAAAAAAAGTCACAATTTTTATCCGATTTTGCTGAAACTTGAAATTTATGTTTATATCCCCGGTTGTACGTGACAGGAGTAGGGTCGCCTGTCCAACCTTGTGGGTTTTCTCCGGGTCCTCCGGTTTCCTCCCACTGCTAAAGACCCCTACGCGCAAACGACTGATTGAAATAAAATTGAACCAGGTGTTAGTCCCGAAATGACCTAGTTTGTGTCGAGTGGACGTTAAACCCCCATTTCTCTCTCTCTCTCTATGTTTATATCCCACAGATCTTGATTCCTGTCGCACATATCGGAACGTAACTTTCTGGGTTATGGCCCCTGATTGTACAAAAAATCTATCCATCTCTTGCAAAATGTGGGCGTATCTTGCATTGCAACCACTGGTTTATTGTTTCGTTAAGACAATACTTAGGTCATTTTGAAACAAAATTTTAGCGGCTTTTATTTCTAAGGTTACACATCATATACTGCAAAGGAGGATTTTCAACTGTCTGGAAATATTGTCTTGGTTCATCTGTGTACATCGAACACAGTGTGAAGGTCATCTGTCCTAGCTGTGATGGAGGTAACCTAGCCACACAGCTAGAGACAGAGAGAGAGAGAGACAGAGAATGAGAGAGAGAGGGGGAGGGGGGAGGGAGGGAGAGAGAGAGAGGGGGAGGGAGAGAGGGGAGGGGGGAGGGAGAGAGAGGGGGAGGGAGAGAGAGAGATAGAGAGAGAATCACATAGTTCAATTTTATTTTAATTATGGATGGGTTTTTAGCAGTAAAAGGAAACCGGAGGACCCAGAGAAAACCCAAGAGGTTGAACATTATGAATTAATGTGCAGTAAATCTTCTCTTGTTTTTTACAGAAAAATTAAAAGAATTCAAGGAATATGTTGTGAGTGATGGCGATATTTTAAAACAAATCAAGGCCCTTAAAGAAGAAGTTGGTGAGTTTGCGGGGAAATATCCGATGCCAGGACTTCCTGATCGATAATGATGAAGACCTTTAGATGATTTTATAAATATTTTATTTTTGGAATGGATGGTGAAATGATTTGGTGAATTGGATTGAGACAGCATAATATGGAAATTGTTCAGATATTTTTAAATATGGTTACATTAGGAAACAAGTTATGGATAATCCGAAGCTTGTACAATGTTAAAATATTGAAACAGGCAACTGATCTTGTCTGAACCCGACATTTTCTAAAAGATACATTATGCGAGTTTTAGATAAAGTTCTGGCTATTCAAAATAGTTCAAAAATAGAGAATAAAAAATGAATATATTGAAAATTTCATTCCAAAGTAATGAAAGTTTGACATTTTGACAAGAAATAGCCATAATTAACAGATGGAAACTCTGTACACAGTTCTTGATTGTCAAGAACCATTGCCATGATAATAAACAAAGTCTTGATTTTCAGTCCTGGTGGGCATGATCTACTTCTCTCAATATCTAAGCCATCTAATGATCCAGAGAGTTGATTATGGATTTTTCATGTGAATAAATGTTTAAATAATAACTTATATAACATTTGAAGCCAGAAAAAGGTGAAAGCAATTGGCAAATTTCGCTCTATCTCTCTCTCTCTCTCGCATAGTGCCTCTTTTAATGCTTGGACTTGATTAAAGTTGCTGATTGCAGTTTTTAGTCATTATCTAATATCTAATATAATCAGATGGATTATTTAACATTTAATTATAAAAACAAAATCTCAGTGGTAAATAATCTCCCTTCTTGGATTCCGTTTGATTAAATTGAGGCTCTGCTAAAGACTTTATCGAACACTGATACAATAGGTACGGTGGTCCACAGAGGCCTGTTCATTCAGTAAATATAGCTAAATGATGATCACCCCAAACACTGATTCAGTGGTCCACGGAGACCTGTTCATTGAGTAAATATGATCACCCCATAGCCAATTGATCAGATTTACCTTAGTATGAGATGCAGCAGACAAACTTTTAATTAAAACACCACAATCTAAAGTCTGTTTTCTATGTACGTGTTTTCGCGGATTACATGGAAACGATTCCATAACATTTAGATTAGAGCGACTTTTTCACTGGCGAGAAAGCATACATGTACATTGAAAACAGGCCTAACTGGTGTCTCCGTTTTGAATCCATCAGCATAGTTGAATGAAATATTTTTGTTAAGAAGTTATTGATATTATTTATAAATTTTCCCAGTGAAAATATTATTTTTATGGAGGTAAATGTACCAATCTGATTAAAACACAGATCCTCTTTTGTTTCGTTTTTTATAGTTCAAAATTTCGTTTTACTTGTCTTTATTACACTACGATCTGGAAGAGATGTTATATAACCTACGTTCTGGTTAATGTGAGGGATTAGCCAATGAAACAGTCTGTTGCGGAGAGTTCTTGGCATTGATTAATCAAATGTCTGATGTGTATAGGGTCAAAAGTCACTCGCATGACCCCTGACACAAGCTTCCAGTACAACCGGTCAGATCTTCATGTAGTAGAGGCCATATCAAGTATAAAAAAAACGAAACGAAATATAGATCTGTATTTTTACCAGCTTGCTGTTATAGCCATGAAATCTGTATATTAAATATAGATCTGTATTTTAACCAGCTTGCTGTTATAGCCATGAAATCTGTATATTAAATATAGATCTGTATTTTTATGGAGGTAGCTGTTATAGCCATGAAATCTGTATAATAAATATAATTTAGTCTCTTGTATATTTCTACATGTATAATGTCTTGTTATTGGGGTATATGGCCATATATCAGTCAGTCACAATATTCATAACTAGAAAATCAAAACTAAAAGGGGAAATTCTTATCTTAAAGTCGGAGGGAGAGGGAGAGAATGGCCGCTTGGTTAGTGTGCGTGTGCTGTATCATAAGGTCTGTCATAGAGTCAGCTGGCATGGTTTAGATTCTCCGGCTGTGCGTAACAAAGAGTAGGGTCGTCTGTCCAACCTCGTGGGTTTTCTCCGGGTCTTCTGGTTTCCTCCCACTGCTAAAGAACCCTACTCGCATGCAGATTATTGAAATAAAATTGAACCATGTGTTAGTCCCGAAATGACCTGGTTTGTGTTGAGTGGACGTTAAACCCCAATTCCCTCTCTTTATTAACCTGCTACGTTTCGATACACATACAGGTATCGTTATCTAGATTATTTGCTTGATATCCCCTTGTCAGTGGTGCAGGACAGAGGGCCTGTCAAGGACAGCTGTCTAGTCATTCGGATGGGATGAAAAACCGAGGTCCTGTGCACATAAAAGATCCCTTGGCAGTTGGAATTCGATATAAGTTTAGGCCATAGTTCTGCTGCCCAGGCAAAATTTTCCTCATAGGACACAGTATGGCGTATGGCCGTCTTCATTGGCTCTGTATACGAGCAGAACAGTAGGATGTTAAACCCCTTTTCATTTCATTTATTTGCTTGATAACGATACCTTGTATGTGTTATGAGATACCTTGTATGTGTTATGAGACGTAGTATGTTAATAAATTCAGAAATAGTATATCCATATAAGTGTTTTTAATTTGTGAAGTCTATTTCTATATGTCTTATAAGAATTTTCTCTTTTACTTTTGATTTTCTACATTTTACTCTAGATAGCATTACGAACCTGATACCCATCATACATGTCTAGTGTTAAACAATTCAAGTTGTCTCAGACCTTGTCCAGGAAGAAGTGGTTCTATTAAAGGCTCAATACCACTCTTGTTGTAACTGAGTAATATGTCCCAATCTTTATTCTGGTCAACAAATTGTACCATTTTACAATATTCCAATTAATTGATGATACAAATTTCATCTTAACACACCTAATTTAAAAAATTAAAAAAATTCAACTCAATGATTTGAAAAGCCTGACGTAAAGCTTTTCAAATGTTACTTGGATTTAAAAATATTTTTGAACCCTCTGGACAAGTAAAATAGGATTTAATGGATAATTTACACAACAGGTAGGACACTAACACATCTAGTACTTACTGTAGAATAAGGCTATTTTTTATTTTCTGGAGCTGTCAAGCCAGCAAGAGTGTTATTGTCCCTTTAAATTGTTTAATGTTTTATTATTATTATACATCTAATTATGATGGTAGTAATTACCTGGTATATATTAAAATTAATTAGGAATGATATTTATAGATCTAGTCATTAAACCATATTGATTATATAATAAATTGAAGGGTTTCTTGTCAAACTCGGTGGAAGTGGACTTTAAGACCCACTCTTGTTGATGTCTGTTGTTGATGTCCGGTACTAGCTATAACACACAGTAGACAAGAATATTACTGACATAAATTTGAATACCATACAGGAATTAAATATGAAAAATAACGAGGTGCACCTATTTTTTATTACGTACGAATTTGAATATTTTGTTGACACATGATTTTTGTGTGTGGTCTAAAAACTGCCTGCTTAAATAACAATAAGAGTTATGTCCCTTTATTTTCGGTAAAAATGTCCGACAAGAAAATGTTTGAAATCCCATCACTGATGTCCATTATGTGTTATAGCTAGTACCCTATATTTTATACTGAAGGGTTTCACTGTAACACTGTTGTTGATGTCCACTTATATAACATGTGTTATAGTGGGTAACCTATATATTATATACTGAAGGTCTTCACTATAACACTGTGTTATAGCAAGTTCCTTCCTTATTCATTAAATACCCTCAAGAAATATTTCATAGTGCTATTGTGGGCGATGTTGAACCCTGCCTTATGTAGGTAAACATGTATCATATCGAACCACCATGTTGTGAGGTTCCAGTGTAGTCAATTTGATTCTGGTGATGGGTATTTTATGGTTAAATAGTTGAAGGAATCTCGTATGTCAATTTATAGTTACTTAATATTTCCTTCTCGGCTGTGTTCATATACAACCATAAAAACATATCCAAAATATATATATTTGTTATTAAAATATTATAAGAAATTTGAGCAACATGAATGAATGATACCGATGGAATTTGTTAATGTGATACGTATTTATGTTTTAAAAACAAAACCCCTAAATTAACATTTAGGACTTTGAACTACAGAGACTTCCGAAACCGTCCCAAAACTACGTCGTCCTCTACCGCCATAAACCAGGTCTGCAGGCCTGGAAATAAGGCACCTTTCACAGACAATGTCAGGCACAGATTCAGGCTTTGTCAGGCATAAAACCTCTGGTGCCTGTCATTTTGTCTGGCACTGAGTTGTCTTTTTTATTGATATTATTAATACATGTCTGGCTCTAAGTTGAAAATGTCAGGTAATCTTTCATTAGTGCCTGACATTTTGTCAGGTACATCTAGAACCGTTATTTCCAGGCCTGCGGCTCTGATGTGTAAGACAAGCGAGAAAACATACTTAACAACATATATTGGTTCTGTGATTTGAGCAGATCTAAGGAACAGTAGTTTCGTAAATAAGCTACGAACCTAAATAGAATAAAAATCATTTTACTCTTGTTTTTACTTGTTCAAAGTGTTAAACGCTTTATGAGTCATTTGTCATTAATGAATCATGTATATGGAAGAGGTTATTTGCATCCACAGTATTTAGGGTTAGGGCAGTGGTAGGCCTGAATACAGAACGAGGGTTAGGGCAGTGGTAGGCCTGAATACAGGAGGACCTCACCACACACAAAAAATTACATCAGACAGACCTATGTACAGGACACAATATACCGTACTTATCTGATCAAGTGGGGGGGGGATAGCCGAATTTTTAGCGTGTGCGCGCTGTATCATAAGGCCTGCCATTGAGTCAACTGGCGTGGTTTCGAATCCCCGGTTGTACGTGACAAGGAATAGGGTCGTCTGGTTTCCTCCCACTGTTAAAAACCTCTACGTGCAAGTGAATAATTTAAATAAAAAAATTAAACCATATGTTAGTCCCGAAATGACCTAGCTTATGTCGAGTGGACGTTAAACCCTAGTTCTCTCTCTCTCTCTCTCTGATAAAGTGAATGGATTTGGGGGCTAGTCGTAAAGCTTCCAGTCTTGTTCAGTCCCAAGCCTGTAATGACACGGGCTTCACACAGGACAACTTTTTATTGTATTATAAACAAGCACAATGAGTGGTTGGTAGCTTCAATGAGCTAGGGTTAGGGTTAGGTCATCAATTGCTTCAACAGATAACCAGAATTTAAAGATAATTTACAATGTGGCTATAAATAACCTCTTCCTTTATGTTCTAATGTTTATTATATTCTGGTAGTGCTAATTATTGGTTTTAAAAAATAAATACTATTCCTGTTACTGGTACATTCTGATGATATTATATATAAACATTCTTATGTTACTATGGTGATAACCTACGTCATTCCATCTGACCAGGATTAGACGGGTATTAGCTGTCTGTTACCACCAGAATTTGTATTCTCATTTTTAATTCGCTAGGGAAATATTATATAGAGACATAAGATTTATTCACAAGTGCTAGTCCTGTTCGGTCCTGCTCAAATTGCCTCCTCCTCGTATCCGCCATTGTTGGTCTGGACAAACTAGTGTATGACGCTGGTAAACAGGTTGCTAGGGTAAACATTTTCCTGGACATCAATGTTTCTGTATAACAATGGTTGTCTTGTTCAAATTTCACCTGCCATAGTGTACATGGATGGAACCCAGTTTCTTGTCCTATCCGGAGGACTAGACACACATATTGTACGTGGATGGACCCCGGGCGTTTCTTGTCCTATCCAGATGACTACACACAATCAGCTTGGATGCGACCCTGGGAAGTTCTTGTTAAGAGGTCAGTGTTGACCACTGTGCCCCCATTGCGTATATAGTTACCACACAATGACGTATGGAAAATGTTGTCTCAGTCCACCTATATACATGGAACATAAGGTGAAGGTCATTTGTCCTATAGGTAAATCTCTGTATGACCTTTGACACTGTTTGCAAAATGGACACTAATATCCAGACCAAAATTCGTTGTGGACAAGGTGAAGATAATTCAAACTAGGGCAATCCAGTCTACGCACATGCTGGATAAAGGAAAACACTATTAAGAAAGAGCAATGGATGAATTTGTTGCCTAGCGATGCACAAGCTGGATATCTTGCTGCCTAGCAACGACAACTTCCGTGCTATATGTGTGTACATAATGAATAGTTATAAGACTAATAATCATATAGATAGCTTGCTACCTGTGGATGATAATATCCACACAGTATCTATACACGCATATACAATGATCTGAAATCTGACATTTTATGTTTTAAAATGTTTATTCATCTGTTTTATCTTAATTCTAATTTTGAAAATCTTGTAACCAAACAGATATTTATACATTTATTCTTTAATCAATGTTAGTAACTTTTTGATAAAAATGTTATTCTTGATATTTTCCTTATGACCTTGTGTATTTGTTGATGTTGCCTAGCAACCATTTCTTCAATAAAAGAGAGACTAAAGTAAAGATGTTTGTATTTTTAAATAAATATTTATCTAGAATAGTTTGATAAGAATAATGAGGAACTTCTGAACATGGCTAAAAAAAAGTACCCTATCAAAAAACTGTTAAATGATTTTAAACTTCGTTAGGAAAATGGTGTTAAAAGTAAAACTGTGTAAGTGAAATGAAATGAAATGGGGTTTAACGTCCTACTGTTCTGATCTGAACTGGGCTAATGAAGACGGGCATGCGCCATATAGTGTACTATGAGGGAAATTTTGTCCGGACATCGGCACAATGGCCTACTCTTATATCGAATTCCAACTGTCAAGCGATCTTTTACGTGTCCGCCAATGTGTACACGAGACCTCGGGTTTTTCGTCCCATCCGAACGACTAGACAGCTGTCCTTGTCAGGCCCTCCGTCCTGCATCACTGACAAGGGGGAACCATGCCGGAAAATCTGGATGAACTTTCTCGGCTAACGCAGGGATCGAACACCCGACCTCTAGGCTAGCGAGCCAAAGTCTCGCCCACTTAGCCCCCGTGCCCCCCCCCCCACACACACACACCAAACTGTGTAAGAATCGGTACAGTAATGAAGTTGGGGGTGAGGGGTACATGGGGAAATGGCGTGTTGGGGGAGGGGGCACTCAGTGAAATGATGTGAACTAAAGTACGTATTTTCAACTGCTGAAATATGCATTTTGCATCGAGGGGGGTTGGATGGCTGAATGGTTAGCGTGCGCGCGCTGTATCATAAAGTCTGTCATTGAGTCGACTGGCGTGGTTTCGAATCCCCGGTTGTACGTGGCAAGGAGTAGGGTCGCCTGTCCAACCTCGTGGGTTTTCTCCGGGGCCTCCGGTTTCCTCCCACTGCTAAAGACCCCTACGCGCAATCGAATTATGTAAATAAAATTAAACCATATGTTAGTCCCGAAATGACCTAGTGTTTGTGTCGAGTGGACGTTAAACCCCATTTCTCTCTTTCTCTCTCATTCTGCATCGTGAACATTGAACTAATATTGGCAACGCTATCCTCAGGAGTTGTGACCTTTGATTTTCAACCATTTCAGATGACCAGAACAGCTTATATACTAAACAATGGGACAGAATCAGAAGCCAAACAAATTCTAATGATTTCTGATAATTACTAAGTGTTTTGTAAATGTTGACATTACCCACAAAAGAAAAAAAATATGTGACAACTCTTTTTGATTGCCAGGACAACTTAGCTGCTGTGGGCATATGTTTCGTTGTCTGGCAACCTTTTAATATTTTGTATGCTTGTACTAGTTTCACAAGATTAGATTAACATAAAACTAATTGAACTTTCGATGACTTCTACTACATGAAGATCTGGCCAGTTATACTGGGAGGTCGCGTCAGGGGTCATACGAGCCACTTTTGACCTATGACGTCAGACATTGATTAATCAATCAGCATTAACGTTTCTTGGGGTTTACCCACAGTTCCGTGCTTCGCACACCAAATATCGTCGTAACAGACCGTTTCATTGGCTAATTCCTTACATCAACTAGAACGCCTCTTTTTACAACTCTTCCAGATCCTATCGTTGTGAAGACAAGTAAAACGAAATTTTGAACTATAAAAACGAAACGAAATAGGATCTGTGTTTTAATCAGATTGCAAGTTTTTCGTTTTTGTTGATAGATTGACTGGCGTTTGTGAGAACGGGGGGGGGGGGCTTAAACAGGATATAATCCAAGAATGTAGCCTACTTCGGCTTCGATATTCAGGGTAAATGGACAACGAATAATGACAAATGGACCCTGTTATCGACGCCGTATGATGTGACGTCACGCTTTGAGCTATACTGCACACGACCTTAAAGGTCGGTCATCTTAATGCCGTTGTCGAACAGATTGCGTCGGAACTTCACGCGCACTCAAGGTTACAATACGATGTCCAGGATAGTGTAACATCATAGATCTGACGTAATAAAAATCTCTTTTAGGCGCGTTGTATCATAAAGTCTGTCATTGAGTCAACTGGCGTGGTTTCGATTCCCCGGTTGTACTGTGGGTTTGCCCCTTGGTCCTCCAGTTTCCTCCCACTGCTAAAGACCCCTACGCGCAAGCGAATTATTGAAATTAAATTGCATCATGTGTTAATCCCGAAATGACCTAGTTTGTGGCTTGTGGACGTTAACCCCCCCCCCTCTCTCTCTCTCTCTCTCTCTCTCTTTCTCTCTTTAAGACTGATAATGTTTAATGAAGTCCATAACAAACGTTTCCTTTTCCTTGTTTATTAACAAAATATAAATGTAGTTCTATAAATGACTTCGTTTTGTTATCGGTTTCTTTGAACATAATTTCAATGAATATTAAATCGCCCTTAATTTGCAATGTTGCTTGTTTAGGCTCTTTTATGTATCGACTTTTATGGTGATAAAATTTCTTTAATTTGGGTAGAAAATAAACAGTAAGAATCATGTATTTATCAACTAAAAACATTTTTCAAGAACTAAATCTGTTTATTACAGGTCTTTCTTTAGGTCTGAAATAATATACAAATTATTAATTAGACATTAATTAACTTATCCAGACCATAATTAACCATTGGTCCGATTTTAAGTAGATTAGAATGGTTCAGCCATTTAATGATTTAATTTAAAAATGGAGAAACGAGGTTAAGACTCGAATGACAGTGCAGTGGTTACAATCAATGCACTCATCTTGTCAATGCTACAAACATTGATAACTTCGATCAAAATAAAGTAATTTGAATGAAATTTTTAATATATTCATTTAGCATTATCTATTTTTGAAATATGATAGCAAGAACAACCAGCTCGGTATCTAAATCTTAAATAATTGCCCTTTGAGTGGTGCTGTTTTCCAGACTGGGAAATTTCTCCGTCTCTGACAAGGACAACTGTCTAGTCGTTCGGATGGGACGAAAAACCGAGGTTCCGTGTACACATTGCCATGCACGAAAAGGATCCCTTGACAGTTGGAATTCGATATAAGGATTATAGGCCATAGTGCCGCTGTCCGAGCAAAATTTCCCTTATAGCACACTGTATGGTGTATTCCCGTCTTCATTAGCCCAGTCGGAGCAGAAAAGTAGGACGGTAAAAACCGCGCATTTCATTTTATTTCATTTCCAATGTTATGTTAGCCTTAAAACTGACCGAAATATTGTTTTGTTGAAACTTAAAGTCCACTCCTTTTCCTTTTGTTTTCTTCATTACTAATAAGGTTTGGAAAATAGACAAAATGCAGCAAACTATATTAATATTTTAATTAAAATTATTAAGAAAATATATTCCCTATAAAATAAATCAAATTATTATTTTTTTTGTCGTGTGGGTAAAATTAAGCAAAGTTAAAGTTAACCAATTTTTGTCAACAGGCTAAATATTTCAACATAATCTGTGCTAACCATAAATCATATTACATTTGCATTTATCGGACAATATGTAATTTTCACTGCTCGATGCACATTAAAAGTAGCTAGGTCTCTAACTCAATATCATCCAAAATCTTCGACATTGAAAACAAGATTTATTTGTCGGTTTAAATCGGCGTAGACTGGAATAACCAGACGCTAGAGATTGAAATTAGACTGAGAATACTGGCGTATTTCGCCGAACCTAACTGATTAGAAAATACAGTAAAAACAGAAACGATTGAATGTAAATCAATTTATATACATTCATATTACATTATTGTATGCGTTGCGACCCATTTGTGTCAATTTCTAGGTGCCAAATATTAGCGACTTAGCTCCTTTAAATGTACCCAAATTGATTATTTAAGAAAACAGAACCTAAATATAAACGCTTGATAATCTCCAGTTTTGGATTCATTTCATAGCACACTGTATGGTGTATGCCCGTCGCACACTGTATGGTGTATACCCATAGCACACTGTATGGTGTATGCCCGTCGCTGTAAGTCGGTGCAGAACAGTAGGACCTTCAACCCTATTTCATTTCATTTCATTAAACGACAACATATATTCAGTCACCTGGAAAGATTTTTAAAAAAAACCCAATACATTGCGTGTTTTATTTCGACGGGCAATGATTACTGGAGCGTACCTAAATATTCCTCTTTTCTTAGTCGTACAGCAGGGGCGGGCTGGGAGTCGAGGGCACCTGAGTTTGTCTAAAAAGGACATGATGCTTTTTAAAATGTATACTAACGTTCATGGCGTATGTAAATTCAAGACGAAAATTCGCCCACTAACTGCTTTCGAGGCATACGTATAAACTCATTATCAGTCCAACCACGTTGTACCGTTTAAAGCAACATATCCAAATTTGCTGACTTAGCTGTTACTCTGATGATTTCATGGCAAGTTGTAAATAACAAAACTAGCGTATTGTGTCTGCCAAGTTTCTATTGTAATTTTATATACTGCACTCACATGGGGATTGGGTGGTCTTAGTACGTGTCAAGGAGTAGAGCGCCCTGTACAGCCGCGTGGGTTTTCTCTGGATCCTCCACCCCACCCCATCCCCACTGCTAAGCTAAACACTAAAATAAAATCAAACCATATGTTAGTCCCGATATGACCTAGTTTGTGTCGAGTAACCCACCCCCTCTCTCTCTCTGCCTAGGTGCTACCTTACTTAATTTTCGTGCGTGCCATCCCATACCATTTTCCTCGGGTTTTCTAAGTGTTAAACATCATTTATCCATGTGCTATCCCACACTATTCCTTGATGTTATCACACAAAATATTCCAAGGTGCTACCCCACACTCTTTTCCCTAGATTTAGACCCCCAGCCGTTTTCACTAAGTGCTACCCCCAGTTTGATGGGTGCCACCCCACACCATTTCCCTATGTGCTACCCAGCACCGTTTTCCTAGGCACCGCCCCTCATCATTATCCTAGGTGCTACCCCACAACATGTTCCTATGTTGAACTCCACGCCATTTCCCTAGATGCTACCCAGCACCGTTTATCTAGGTGCTACCCCTCATCATTATCCAAGGTGCCACCGCACATCGTTTATCTATAGGCTACCCCTCACCATTATCCAA